TAGAAAACCAGGCATGCAGGGCCTCATCAGGCCCAATGGTATTCATCGCGTTGAAGTCATCGCGGCTGACCTGGTCAGCGTAAGCCATCATCGAAACAATCAGCTCACCCGTCACGGGCACCACGACCAACTCAGTAACCGCAGAGTTCGGCATACTCCCCAATGTTGGGCCAACCTCGACCGAGTAAGCGCCTGTGCTGGGAATACTGAACGGAGTGGGTTGGACAGGGTCATTGAACGGCGGCAAACTCAGGCGGTATACAAAGGGCTCACCTTCCGGCACATTTGTGGGCAGGACTATCAATGGAGGATCGAGGACGTTGCTACTGCCATGACGTAGATCAAACAGCTTCCCGTGAGAGGTTTCGTACAACAATGATAGTTGCGTTCTGAATTGTGTGGCGTATTGATAGTATGTAATTGCCGTTTCAATATTGTCTGACCGATCCTCTTCCCCTTGATCCAGGTGGTTGCCAAAATCACAGTCCGATGCCGCGATCACGTTGTTCAGATTGTGACTACCCGTTTTATCTTGGACGCCAAGCTCGCCGCTTCGGTCATTGAGGAGAGCTCTGACATTAGAGTGAAAAATATTGCATTTATCGAACAAGAACTTGAAAAACAACCTTCTTTCGTACGCGTTTTTGCGCTTATCGTTCGACTCGGGTAGGCTATCAAGGCCGACCTCCATGATGCGGGCGCCCGTCGTAAAATCATCTACGAAAACCGCTTCCAAATCGCCGTATACTTCGCTTTCCAAATCGCCGTATACTTCGCTCGCGAACCATTGTGCGGTGCCTTCGCTCAACCACTTGCCTGGGCCACCCTTATTTATGGACAATTTATTGCGGCTCCCCGCTATAACGGTATCGCTGTGACCTTGAAGATGATGAAAATATTCATGCAGTGCAACAAACTTAATCAACTCATACGAATTCGTGTTGTCATCAGTAATATGAAGCACCTTCCTGCCTTCCAGTGAAGCTACGAAACCTAATGCATCGGGTTTGAAAAACCCAACCAAAGTTATATATGCTGAAACATGATCAAGGGTGAAACCTAGATTCATCGGGTGGATATGAACCTCGAAATTGCTATCGTAACCTAACCCCAATTCCTCTGCCGCCGCCTGGGCCCCGATAAGCCAGGAGACAATGTCATGGGGACTACGTCCCCAGGGACACCCGGTGTGCTGGTTTACCTCACCACCCTCAGCTAGCCAACGGCATCCTTCACCCCAACCTCTTATCCAAATATCAACGTCTTCATCGTGCTCGTAGGTGCAGCGATGGGCGCCGCCTTTCAAAAAGAGGAAAAATGACCATTCAACGAACTTACAGTCAATATCTTCTACTGGCGGTGGTTCGGGGCAAAGCGGAGCACCCGCCACGGTCCAACTTTCGCACATCGCATGGGTTTCCCTGTCATCGATGGAGTGTGGACCGGCGTGGATGGGATTAACGCCTCCGTTGGGGTTGAGCGGGTCAACGCGCATCGCGATGTCGACAGGTCGGTTCTCGGGTCCGAAAAGGTGCTCATCACCGTCGTCGGGAGGATAGCTCATATTTTGCGGTGTCGCCTGGAAAGGCATTGCAGGTTCGTTCACATGGAATCCGAAGAAAGCCAGCCCCTGCATCCCCTCTAGCGACATGATGTAGGTCAAATCATCCAGGTTGTCGCCTTCGAATGAGAAGCCAACGGACACCGGGCTCCAGTAGAGGCCGTCCACCTCCGAGATCTCCGCGTAGGCGTAGAGATTGACGTCGGTGAACTGAGTTCCCTCGGGAAGATCGTCCACCAGTTCCCCTATGGGAAGCCGAAGCTCCACCGGGGTTTCGAACTCCCCTTTCCCCAGGAACACATCGGTGAGAGGCGTGATCCAAGAAGGGACCTCAGGCACGTTTTCCTCCGGGGCGAGCTCAAATATCTTTCGCAGTTCCGCCAGTGTCCGGATGGTGATCGGGGGCTCATCCTCGGGTGAGGGTGAGGTTATGGACAGGCCTTCCAGGTTGGTGTCCGGGTCGGTAATTATCAGCACGTTCCCGTCCGTTTCCGACCTGGTGATGGAACTCCTGATGCTTCGCGGGTCCATTACCATGATTTCAAAGGTGGCCTCATCAACCAGCGTGCCGTCGGTCACTGTGATCGTTAGGTCAAAGGAACGGCCCTCGTCTTCCTCCTGCGGCGTCCACGTGACAAGGCCTCTATCTGGGTCGATAACCATGCCTTCCGGCGCTTGAGGCAACGTGAAATACAGCCGGTATCTTCCCGTGTAATCCACCGACGGGTAGATCACCACGGGAATGTCGGCGATAAACGGCCCCAACTGCTCGGGAGGTTCGATCTCCAGCCTCACACGACGTGAGCCTGAAGACCCCCCGCCACCACCAGAGGAACCGGAGCCCGAAGTTGACGACGAACTGCTGCGCGGGCGTGCCCGGGTGGTGAGTGAAACGGTCGCCAGTCCCGTTTCTGTGCCGACGTCATCCACCGCAATCACCAGCAACCGCAAAGTGGTGCTGTAGGTGCTCGGCGCAATTAGCGTGGAGATCAGGGTGCATTCCTGCTCCAGGCCGTTCTCGCATTCGACCTTAGCAAACTCAGTCCCGTCCTCAGCAACCAACGCCAGGTAAGCCAGGCCCCCGTCAGCATCGACGACCTGCAACGTGATCTGGACTTCCTGCCCCGGCTCAAGCCCGTCGCGGGTAACCTCGTCGGTGTCGACGGTCACACCGTCGAGCTCCCACAAAGTAAGCACCGGCTGGACAATGTCGTCCTCTGGAAGAGGTACGGTTGGCATGCCGACCGGCAGAGGCGGTGTGGGGGTCGCACCTGGCCCAGGGGCGCTTGCCGATTCCGCGGGTTCATCGCTTTCCCTCAGAAACAGGACCTGCCTCGGATCGTCCAGATCGGTCGTCGCCCCAGGCTCCCGCACGATCAGGTAACACACTCGGTCCGACGACCCGGTGATGTATCCCCCGTCCCCTTGGGCAGCGGGATACGCCCGCACAGTGGTGTAGCCGTTGCTGTCGGCGCCACGGATGATGTACCAGTGCTCGCCTTCTCCGTCGGCGTAAAAGTCGTCGTACTGGATGCGGCCGCGGTCGTCTCCCCGCAGAAGCCCCGCGTATCCCTGGCCCGGCCAGTCCACCGGACACTTCGGAGCGCCCTGCGCCGCAGCCCATCCTGCCAGACCTGCGGACGCCAGGGCCGCGACTGCCAGTACAAGCAGGAGAACGTTTCGGAGGCTCCGCACGGATTTCAATGCATGCACCCCGTTTCAAAGCCGGAAAACTGGCATCAATGGGACATGTTGCGCGGTTTTGGGTGTGGCGTAGCCTTTCTGTGTTGTACTTGGGCGCGCCGCTCCCGACCATCACCGCGTTGGGGCCGGACGGTAGTCGCTGGCAGGCCTGATGTCCATGCGTACATGGCACCGGAACGGAAACATCGGCGGTTCCGCGCTGTCCAGGTGGGTATGTTGATGCAGGATTACCGCGAAAATGTTCCGCTACAGGACGGCGAAAGGGATTGACCCAGACCAGGTGACGGACCCCATGGCGGAGTTCAGCGACCTGCATCGATCATCCACGGTTAAACCACCGTAGGTCAGCTGGAAAAGGCACAGATTCTGCCGGCGCTCCGGCGGCTGCAAATCTTCTATGAAAATTTGAAAGGCCCGGTATGATGTTGGCAAATCCGGTGGGAAAGGGAAAATACCAGGGCCGAATTGGCCGACGTATTCGCCGACCTGGAGGATCCGTGCGCAGCCAACGCTCGGCGCCATTCCCAATGACATCCTGGTCATCGCACTATGCACCATCGCCGGCGGCGGCCGGACTTGCACCGACACGGAACTCTTCGGCAACCCCAAACGGGATTTCCTGCAATCTTTTCTGAGCCCGGAAAGCGTCATCCCCAGCCACGACACCTTTTCCTGTGTGCTGGGCCGGCTGGATCTGGAGGCTTTCCAGGGGTGGTTTCTGGGTTTCGTGCCGCAGCTCACCGAGGGCCATCAGGGGTGTGGTGGCTCACGCGTACCCAGTTTGAGGCAGGGGGTTGAAAAAAGGTCGGCATCTCCGGGTAAGGAACGGGTTACCTGCCACGTTCCTGCCTGGGGAGGCCGACCATGCCATGGTATCGCCGTATCGCCACCTTTCTGAACGGCGCGCTGCGGGAGGTTCGGGCCACCCGCCGCACCAACCTGGCCTTGCTCACCCCTGCCATCTTGGATCGGCGCATCCTGGCCATCTCGGTGTTGGTAATGACCTGGCTCGGTCAGTTACCCTACACACACCACCAGCGGAAGAAGCGGCTGTTTCGCTTGCTGTACGACACCCGCTTTGACACCGTGGCGGTGCAGACCGTGCTGTTGGGACCCATCTGTCAGGCGGCCCGGTTGCGGGAGCTGCCACCGACGACGTCAACTGTACCCCGTATTTCTCCTGAACCATGGATGTCGCACCTCCCACACCGTTGATTGCTACCCAGCGTAGCCACTCCGGCTCACCTCCCGCCGTATCTGTCGATACAGGTTTGACTGAAAACTAGCTGATAGATGTTACTCGTCATAATTCGCTCGTTACTGTACGGTAAGCCATTTTAGCTCCAGACGTCGATGTTGACGTGGGGATACATCCCCGGCTCCGGCTACCCTGATCATGTCTGACACTCATCGTCGGGATGCGACTTCGTTGCCGCCCGCCCCTGCTCCCGTGTAAAATGCCGGCTCAGTTAATCATGATCCTCGCTACCGCACTCCACGGAGGTTCCCCATGTACCAGAGGCCCACTCTGAGCCTGAGCCAGGTCCGCGCCGCCATGAACGCCATGCTGGACCAGGCCGAACAGGAACCCGATCGCCCCCTGGCCATCGCCATCGTCGACGCCGACGCCAAGATGCTGAGCTACGCCCGCATGGACAACTGCCGCGCCCTGCCCCAGCGCATGGCCGTCAGCAAGGCTTACACCTCCGCCATGTCCGGGTCGGACTCCAACGCCTACGCCGAGCGCCTGAAGAACGAGGGACGTAACATCGCTGACTTCGGAGACTCGCAACTGGTGGCAGTGCAGGGCGCCGTCGTCGTGCGCGACCCGGGGACCGACCTGGTGCTGGGCGCCATCGGCGTCAGCGGCCTGTCCGCCCAGGAGGACGAGGACCTGGCCCGCCTGGGGTCGCAGGCGCTGGGGCTGTAGCGCGCTGCGCTTCTCCAATGGGAACGGGAGGCCGGGCCATGGCAGCCGTCGATGCCACTGCCGGCGCCGCGGAGGATTCGGCCCGGCCGACGTACGCAGGCAACATGCTCATCCACCGACTGAAAATCAGCGGAATGCTGTCATTCGGGCAAGAAGGTATTGACCTGCCGATGGAGCCCCTTAACGTGCTCATCGGGCCCAACGGGTCGGGCAAGTCCAACTTCATCGAAGCACTGGCTTTGCTGCAGGCGGCGCCGCGGGATCTGTCCGCACCGGTGAAGCGGATGGGCGGCATTTCGGAGTGGCTGTGGAAAGGAGATGGGGCGCAAGGAGGTGCAACTCTAGATGCAGTGATTGGCTACCCGGAAGGCACGATGCCCTTACGCCACGAAATGACGTTCTGTCAAACTGGGGAACAGTTCGAGATCATATTCGAAACCGTGGAAAATGAGCCTTCCACCACTGATGAGATCGACACTGACCTACACTACTTGTACCTGCGTGGCAACCCGTCAATCAGTGAGGTTGATTATGAAACCAGAGGTAGGTATAGGTTGCGAAACCTCGGTCACGGCACGTTGATTCGCGATGCATCGATACTCTCACAGAGAGAAGACCCAGATCGTTATCCAGCATTGGCGTGGCTGCAGCAGCAATATAGGCAAATCAAGCTATACCGAAATTGGGAGTTTGGGCCGGATGCGGGACTGCGTAGGTCACCGCGAGCAGACGAACCCAGCGCATTTCTGACGGAGCGCGGCGAGAACCTGCCACTGGTTCTGTCCAAGCTGCGGGGCGACCGACGCCAGACTTTAGTCAAATCACTGCAACAGCTTTACGATGGCATTGAGGATTTCCAGGTCGAGGTTGGTGGCGGACGCGCTGAGCTTTTCATAGTCGAACGCGGCGCCGGCGAGCGATACATACCCGCGTCCCGCCTGTCCGACGGCACGCTGCGCTACATGGCGTTGGCGGCCATTTTGCTGGACCCGGAGCCGCCGCCGCTGGTGGTAATCGAGGAGCCGGAGTTGGGGTTGCACCCGGACGTGGTACTCGGCATCGGGGAAATGCTGGTCGAAGCCTCCAAGCGTACGCAGCTAGTCATAACTACCCATTCGCGCACGTTGATAGACGCACTCCATGACCAACCATCAAGCGTGGTGGTGTGCGAAAAACACGACGGGAAATCCATCTTTGAGCGATTGGAGCCCGCCCCATTGAAAAAATGGTTGGACAAGTACAGTCTCGGTAATCTGTGGAGCGCCGGCGATTTAGGAGGAAACCGGTGGTGAAGGCCAGGATATTTATTGAAGGTGGCAGCCCCGGTGAAACCTCCGATGCGATTTTCAAGCAATCCTGGCAAAAGTTCTTCCACGCCGCCGGCCTCACCGGTCGGATGCCAGCAGTAGTACGGGGAACCAACAGAAACGAAACATTCGACAAGTTCAAGGACGCCTTGTCGCACCAGACCCGCATCAAACAACGGCACGAGAGATTGTTGCTTCTCGTAGATAGCGAAGGGCCGGTCATCGCCGAACATACCGCATGGCAACATTTGAAAGATCGGCCAGAAGACGATTGGGACGAACCTCCCCTTGCCGGCCATGACAGCGCGTTTCTGATGGTTCAATTCATGGAAACATGGTTTCTGTCGGACCGTGATGCGTTGCAAACAGTATTCGGACAGAATTTCAATTCAACCCCGGTCAGAGCCTGGTCCAATTTGGAAGCAGTCCCCAAGGACACTGTCCTTGATACTCTAAAGCGCGCCACCAATGGTCGCTACGAGAAGGGTACAGTTTCATTTCGTATGCTGGCAAAAATTGATCCTGATCTGGTCGCCGCGGCCTGCCCCCATGCGAAAGAGCTGCTGGATTTCCTGCGTAGTCTATAATCCGTAACAAGCTGCCAGAACATTACCGGAGGCCCTCCCCATGCCCAACCCTCGCGCCGAGTTCTCGCCTATCTTCGACCGGCCCAAGCTGACGCTGCCCGACGGGGCGAAGGTGGCCGTCTGGTTCATCATCAACATCGAGGAGTGGGACATCGACCAGCCCATGGCGCGGACCGTGCTGCCCTCGCCTCAGGGCGCGGCAACCTCGCCGGACATCCCCAACTACTCCTGGTTCGACTACGGCATGCGGGTGGGCTTCTGGCGGATGCAAAAGGCGCTGGCGGACTTCAACCTGCCCTGCACCATCAGCCTGAACGCCGCAGTCTGCGAGGCATATCCCCAGCTGGTGCAGTCGTGTCTCGACCTGGACTGGGAGCTGCTGGGACACGGCTACATCCAGCAGGTGCTGCACAAGGAACCCGACGAGCGGGTCACCATCCGCAAGACCATTGAGGTCATTCGGGAGTTCAGCGGCAGCGCGCCCCGCGGCTGGATGGGGCCGGGCCTGGCCGAGACCTACCACACGCCGGACATCCTCGCCGAGGAGGGCATCGAGTACGTCGCCGACTGGGTCAACGACGACCAGCCCTACGAGATGCAGGTCAAGTCGGGCCGCCTCGTGGCGTTGCCCTATACAGTGGAGCTGAACGACATCCCCATCTACCTGGTCCAGCACCACTCCGCGCCCGAGCTGTTCCGGCGGGCCAAGGACTCGCTGGAGATCATGCTCGCCGAGGGCGAGGACAATTCCAGGGTCATGGCCATATCCATGCACCCGTATATCACCGGCGCGGCCCACCGCATCGGCCATTTCCGCCGCCTGCTGGAGTACATCACGCAAATCGATGGGGTATCATTCTGGACCGGCAGCGGTATCCTGGACTGGTACAACGACCAGCAGGCCGCCCGCTGATGGGCCAATTGTCCATAAGTCGTCGATAACTCGTATATAATTATCAGAAGTGCGTGGGCCAACCGACTACAACCTGTCGGCCAACCGACAGTTCGCGCGGATAAATTTCCCGCCACTTCCACGGGACACTTCCCCTGCCGCTCTGTCCACGCCGTTTCACGTCTCAATCCACTCGATCTAACCCAGTTATCAACAGACAATCCAAGATGGCATCACGGATGCTATGAACACTATGAACGTCCTTATCATTACCACTGTTACCTTTAGAGACTGATCTATGATCGATACTGTAAGAATCAACGTTAAGGCCGGGAACGGTGGCGACGGGTGCATCAGTTTTTTGCGGCTCAAGTACCTGCCCCGCGGCGGACCCGACGGCGGCGATGGCGGCGATGGCGGCAGCGCATACATCGTTGGCGATTCCTCCCTCAACACGCTGCTGCACCTGAAGTTCAACAGCACCTTCTACCTGGAGCGCGGAACCCACGGTAAGGGCAAGGACCAGCGCGGCGCCAACGGCAAGGACACCGAGATCCGTGTGCCCCTGGGTACGGTCGTCTGGCGGCTGCACCGGGACGGCAGCAAGGACTTCATGGCCGATGTCGTTTCGGACGAGCCGGTTCTGGTTGCCAAGGGCGGTCAGGGAGGTTGGGGCAACGCCCGGTACGTGTCGTCAACCAACCAGGAGCCGATGCTGGCCCAGTCCGGCGACCAGGGCGACTACGCGGTACTTTGGCTAGAGCTCAAGCTCCTGGCCGATGTTGGTCTGCTGGCCAAGCCCAACGCCGGCAAGTCCACTCTGATCTCCCGCTGCTCCGCCGCAAAACCCAAGGTTGCCGATTACCCCTTCACCACCGTGGAACCGGTGCTGGGCGTGGTCACCCACGGCGGGCAGGATTTCGTGATGATGGAGATCCCCGGCCTCCTGGAAGGGGCCCACCGCGGCATCGGCCTGGGTCACCAGTTCCTGCGCCACGCCGAACGTGCCCGCGCTTACGTTCACCTCATCGATGGTCTGTCCGACGACCCCGCCGGCGATTTCCTCATGCTCAACCGTGAGCTGCGCGAGTTCAGCCCCATGCTCGCCGCCAAGCCCCAGGTGGTAGCCGTGAGCAAGTTGGATACCACGGATACCTACGAATTGCGGGATGTCATCGAGGAAGAGCTGCGCCGCGCCATGGTTCAGGACGAGGCGGTCGGCGGCGCTGGCGGCGAGACTCGCATTCACTTCATATCCTCAGTCTCTGGTGTCGGCGTGGACGACCTGCTCGGCGACCTGGTCCGTATCCTGTCCGATGCGCCCCGCGATGGTATCGACGCGGCGGAATGGGAGGAAGAGGTCGCGGTCCCGGCTGCCAGCGTGGAGCGGGAACGTGCGCCTTTGGGTGTGTACCTGGATGGCGACGTCTACGTTGTGGAGTCGGAACGCCTGCAACGCCTCACCGGCCGCGCCGACATGCGGGACTACCGCGTCATGCTGCAACTCTGGCGGGAGATGAACCGGCTGGGCATCGCGAGGCGGCTTCAGGAGGCTGGCATCGAGGCCGGCGATACCATCCGCATTGGTGACGCCGAGCTGGAGTGGTTCTGATGTCGGCCGAGGAGCCCCTGCCACGACGCATCGGCATCCTCGGCGGCACCTTTGATCCTCCGCACCTGGGCCACCTGCTCATCGCCGAAACAGCGCGGGTCGCGCTGGACCTGGAATCCGTCATGTTCCTGCCGGCCGGCGAACCCTGGCTCAAGTCGGGACAGCGCATCACGCCGGCCGAGCATCGCCTGCGTATGGTGCAGTTGGCCGTGGCTGACAACCCCGACTTCTGCGTCTCCGACTGCGAGATAAGGCGCAGCGGTCCCAGCTACACGGTAGATACGCTGCGCGAGCTGCGAGATGGCTTCCCGCTCGATACCGAGCTGTATTTCATCGTCGGGTCGGACCTACTGGACCAGTTCCATCGTTGGAAGGAACCGGAAGCCATCCTGGAGCTGTGCAGCTTGGCGGTGATCGAGCGGCCCGGGGGTCCCGAGGAAGGCGTCGCCGCGCTGCGGGGTCGGTTCCCCGACGCGCTGGATGCCGGCGCGGTGGTGCCGGTGGCCGGGCCCCGGGTGGACTTCAGCGCGTCCGAACTGCGGCGGGTACTGGCAGCCGGCCAATCCACCCGTTACCAGATACCGGACGCGGTGGCGGCGTACATAGCGCAGTACGAGTTGTATAAGGCCGGGGACTGATATGACAAATGCTACGTGCGGGATCGACGGCGGGCAACGGACGATACCATATTCTGCTGCATCCCGAACCGAGCAGATAATTCAGGGAGCCAATGTCAAATCCATCGGAATACTTAATGGTCTGGGGGTATTTCTCTGCGGTCGGAAGAAGGTCGTTGTTGGTGTGCTGTTCACTTCTCGCTATAGCGGCATGCACGACATCGCCAATTCAATCCGAAGAGGGTCAAATAACGGATAAGGCGGATAAAGGCGATTCTATAACTGTGGACGTGGACTCGTTGGAAATCGAACCGCCTCCTTGGGTGCCAGGAGGTTGGAACCTGAGTTCAATGCGTGATTGGAAAGAATTCATGTGGTACGCGTTGCATTCCCAAGGGTATAACGTTCGCGCCGATGGATTCTGGACGTATCCTGCATTCGCTGACGAGCGTGAGGAACTAATCACATATTTGCAAGGACGTGCCGCTTCGTGCCCAAAAGGCTGGGTCAGCCACAAGGTTGAATTGCGGGAAGATTATGTCAGAGCGGTGGATAAATTCGATCGAATCAAAATTGACCACCCTCCATACAGCGCACAATATGCGGAGCAGCAACTAGTAGTTGAAGATTCCTATCTCGGGCTTGTGGACATCATTGCGAGATGTCAGGTGAGTCCGAGCATATTGGCTGATATCGACAAACTAAATGACGATGCGTAGGTGAGATGGTGGCTTTGAATTCGACGGAGATGGCGGAACGATTGCTGGAACTGGCCGTGGAACGGGGCGCGATCCGCTACGGCGATTTCACCCTGTCATCGGGCAAGAAGAGCTCGTACTACTTCGACGGGCGGCTGCTCAGCCTGGACCCGGAGGGCGCGCACCTGATCGGGAACGCACTGCTCCCGCTGCTGGCGGACGCCGGCGTATCCGCCGTTGGAGGCCCTACCCTGGGCGCGGACCCCATCGTGACCGCCGCGGCCATGGCGTCGTGGCAGCAGGGCGCGCCGCTGCCGGCCTTCATTGTGCGCAAGGAAGCCAAGGGGCACGGCATGACCCAGATGATCGAGGGACCGGTGCCGGAGGGAGCGTCGGTCGCCATCGTGGACGACACCTGCACCACCGGGGGGTCGCTGTTCCACGCCATTGGAGCGGCCGAGGAGGCCGGGTGTACCGTCGGGCTGGTCCTCGCGCTGCTGGACCGCAACGAGGGCGGCAGCGACGCCATCCGGGAGCGGGGCTACCGGTTCGAGACTTTGCTCACGGCCGGCGAGGACGGACGCATACGGCCGGCGTAGGGTCGCCATCGAGTTGTATCTACGTGTAGCCCACGATTGGGGAGCCTGCCGGGTGGGTTCTGGTTTTCCGTAGCGGTGCGGGTGACCATGCGCTGCGGATGCGTCTGATTTAGGCGGTGATCATTCGCCGCGCAGTTGGCCGAGTTGTTCTTCCAGTTCCTGGATCCTGGCCTCGGCCCGGGCGCGGGCCTGTTGCTCTTGCATACGGGCCTGTTGCTCCTGGAGGCGGGCCTCGCGCTCTGACTCCATCGTGGGGACGTGCTCGCCGGTTGACGGGTCGTACCAGCCCAACTGACCCTCGACCCAGCGCAGGTTCACGTTCAGGATGGGAGCTGTGGCCCTGCAGGCTCCCGTCGGGCAACGCATCAATCTGGATGGGCTCGTACCGGCCGTCCACCAGCCGGTCGCCGGCCAGACGGGTTCCGTGGTACTGGCCGGCCTCGTCAAATCGCCAGTACTCCGGGATGCCCAGCTCGGCGTAGATGACCCGCTTGTCGATGGTGTCCCTCCGTCCGGTGGAGGGCGAGCCAATTTCGAGCACGAAGTCGGGGGGCTTGCCCTGCTCGGAGATGATGTAGCCGTTTCTGGCCCGGTAGGCAGCCCGGTCGACGTTGAAGGCCACCAGCATATCGGGATAGACCAGGCCGGTCATGGCGGCGCGTTCTGAGGTTGGCACCGCGGAGATGTAGCGTTGGCCGGTGACGAGGGTGGTTTCGAGGTTTCCGAGGTATTGAGCCAGGAAGTGGGAGCCGCCGTATTCGGTTAGGTGGTCGTAAGCGGTCATCATCTCGTCCGGGATTTCAGGAACATCCGGCAGCAGCGAAGTCAGGTGGGAATTTTGGCGTCTTGGCGGTGGTCATGTTGAACCTCGCCTGGTTCGGCGTGTGCAGCTCTGAGCGACTGGGCGGTTATTGCCTGGAATTATACCTGTGCACCGGATCGGGCGGGCGGCGCGTGACTAGACCCGGTAGAAGCTGCCCCCGCCGGCCCATAGGGCGCGCAGAGCCCGGCCTCCCACCACGGTATCGAACCTGATCCACTCGGGAGAAGGCTCGCCCGCCGGCCCCACGTAAAAGCGCGGTGATGACCCGCCGTCCGTAGGCTGCGGCGTCAGCGGTTCCTCGCCGCCGTTGGGCCACGCCAGGTGGAGCCGCCCCCGGCGCAGGATGATGCGGAAGCTGGTCATGTAGGGGGCGTGGCTGCGGTAATGTCCCGGGAAAGCGGCCCACTCCGGCGGTGGGGAACCGGCCGTATCCAGGGGCGACTTGCCCGCACGGACGTACACCGCGGGCCGTGGCGGACTTCAACTCATCTGGACAGCGTCGCCAGCGCCCTGCGGTCCACGGAAGCGCAGGGGGAAGGGGTCGAATTCGTCGTCGGGGACACAGAAGGTGTTGCCGCCGATGTGTTCGAGGGTGATGGCTGACCGGCCCTGGCGGTGCAGCAGAAGCTGGTCGCCCGGCGCGGTTACGGACAGCGCGGCGCCGGATGTCTCGTGGATGAACTCGCCGGCGTAGCGGTCCGCGTTGGCGACCTGGGTTGGGTCCGCCAGGGGCGGAGCTTCGGGCGCTGGGTGACCGTCGCGGGCTGCTGCGGCGACCCGGAGCGCATATCGCGCCGCTGGGTCCAGGTCCACCTGGGACCCGTTGCAGAACATCACAACCCCCAGTCCGTCGGTCTGGTCGGTGAGCATGATGGCCCGAAAACCCACGCTGCTCCCGCCGTGGCCGATGAAGTGATGCCCGCCGGCCCGGTGGGACATAATCCCGAAGCCGTAGCCATAAGCATCCTCAACATTGCCACGGGACATCGCGATGCTCGGGGTGGTCATCAGCCCGTAAAGCGCCGGCGAAATGACGGGACCCATCTCGCCGCGCCCGCCGTTGAGCCACAGCCGGGCGTAGCGGGCCATATCTGTGGCGGTGGAGACCTGGCTGCCGTCGCCGACAGCATATTCCATCCAGGGTGCCGGAATGAGGGCGTCGTTCAGGCGACGGGGACGGTCGTCATGCAGGAGGACGTAACCGGTGGCCATGCGGTGGTGGGTGCGATGGGTGATAACCGGTTCGCTGGAGTGCATCCCCAGCGGTTCCAGCACCCGCTGCCGGATCGCGCTGCCGTAATCCAGGCCGGTCACGTCCTCCAGCAGCCAGCCCAGCAGCTTGTAGGCGGTGTTGGAGTAGTGGAACCTGCTGCCGGGTTCCCAGGCGGCCTCGGTGTCACGCAGGGCGTAACCTTCGTATCTTGCGGCGGGAGCGAAGTCGGTGCCGGCGGGCAGGCCGGCGGTATGGCTCAGCAGGTGCCGGAGCGCGATCGGGCCGTAGCGAGAGGGCAGGGCCAGCCAGGGCAGGTGCGTGCTGATCGGGGCGTTGAGGTCGAGCCGGCCGGCCGTGCACCAGTTGCAGCAGCGCCAGGGCGGTCATCGACTTGCCGATGCTGCCGATCTGGAAAGTGGTGTCGGCGAGCACCGGGCTCCGAGCGGCCAGATCGGCGTAGCCCACGCCGGCGGTGAAGAGCGTCTGCCGCCGGTCGGTCAAAGCAACGGAGACCCCCGCCGCCGGCACGGTGGAGAGCCACCGCCCAAGGTACTCGGTGAGGGGCGCGAAGTTCCGTGAGGTGTTCGGATTAATCGGCGAGAGCATGACGAAGTCTAATCACGTTGGTAACGGTCTACGACGCAAGCTGATCACCCAGAAATAACCGCGCCAGCCATCCTGTGCCGTGATTGCGCCAGCCACCAACCTCGCCTGCGCATCGGCTGGTATGTCGGGAATAAGCCGAAACGTGACCACGCCGCAGGTTGCTGGTAACCGGTCCCGGTAGGTCAGGGATCCATAGTCGGTGTCGAAGGTAACCAATACGCGATCCTCGCGGACTGTCCGCGCCAACAGGTCAGGATCAGCAGCGCTGGGGTCGTCCTCAGTGACGAAGGCTACGTCATGGCCTGCGAGTCGCAGCGCTTCTACGGCATCGGCGGGCATGTTTTCATCGAGGAGCAGCCTCACGTCGCGCTATGACTGTTTGGCCTGGTGGTGCTTGGCATCATCGCGGCGGTCATCTTCGTCCATCATGGCCTCCAGGTCTTCCCAGGTTACGAAGCTCAGGGGCGCGCCAGTGGCAGCGTACGACCGGCAGGCTTCCAGGTCGTCGGGGGTTAACCGGGGATAGTTCCTCAATATGTCGGCTTTGCTCCAGACGCCGGCATCCAGCAACTCGGCTACCAGCTGCACGGAGATGCGGGTGCCTTTTACCGTGGGTTTACCGGCCAGGATACGCGGGTCTTTGACGATACGGTCTTTCCAGTCCATAGATGACCTCGTTAGTGCGCCGGCCCCGGCTTCTCCCCGCCGAACAGCAACGGCTGGGCGGTGATGCGCGCGGCGACATCGGTCTCGCCGTCGTCGGAAATCGCCTGCAGCGTCCCGCCGACCTGCACCGCCGCGGTGCGCACGTAGCCCAGCCCGATGAGGCGCGCGCCTTCCGCCGCGGGAACCACCGTCGCGGAGGTGACCACTCCCATCGCCGCCCCCTCGTCGTTGACCAGGCGCGACCCGGGCAGCGCACCGGCCTGGGCCGGGTCGGCGTCGAAACTCAGGGACACCAGGTACTTCTGCACCTTCTGGTAGGTGTCCAGCCGCGCGATGACCTCCTGGCCGATGTAGCAGCCCTTGTGGAAGTCGATGGCCCCGACCAGGCCGGCCTCCAGCGGGTTGTAGGTGTCGCTCATCTCGCTGCCGTGCGCCGGCCGTGCCTGGGCGATGCGCAGGGTTTCGGCGGTCTCCGCGCTGATGCTCACGGCGCCGGCCGCTTCTAGGTCGGCGGTGATTCGCCCGGCGCCGTCAGGGTCGTCGCACAGCAGGTAGCGGGTGGACATGCGTTCCGGGTCGTCGGAGTCCGTCGGAGGCTCCACCACCAGGGCATCCTCGTGCGGGACCCCGCCCAGGATGTCGGCGGCGTCCGGCCCGGTCACCGTGAGCAGCGCAGCGCTATCGGTGACGTCCTCAACCTCCAGGTCCTCCATGATGGTGTACTTGTCCAGGAAGTCGATGACGTTCTGCTGCTGGCCCGGGCTGGTGAGCACGAGTTGGTGGTCGCCCCGGTGGATGACGTACACCAGGTCGACGATGCGGCCGCGGTCGCTGGTCAGCACGGTCACCGCGACCTCGCCGGCCGGCGCCTCCGGGTCGATCTCGTTGGTGGACAGGCGGTTGAGCAGGTCGCGGGCGTCCTCGCCGGTGAGACGCAGGATGCCCGCGTCGCCAGGGTACACGGCGGCCCGCTCCGTGGCGGCGCGAAACTCCTGAGCGGTGTGGGCGGCAACGGCGGTGGTGGTCATCTGGTCCTCCGGGATCGGGATATGCGGAATCTGGGCAGGCGGGTGGCGAGGTCAGGATACGCAACAGGGGCGGGTATGCAACCCGCCCCTGCGCCGCGTCGGTATGATTTGGGCGTGTTGGCTACACGGCGAACGAGGTGCCGCAGCCGCAGGCCTTCTTGGCGTTGGGGTTCTCGAAGATGAAGCCCTTGCCGTTGAGGCCGTCGGAAAAGTCCAACTGGGTGCCGACGAGGTAGATGTAGGACTTCTTGTCCACCATCACCTTGACGCCAAATTGCTCGACGATCTTGTCCGACTCGCGCTCCTGGTTGGTGATGGTCAGGTCATAGGTGAGGCCGGAGCAGCCGCCGCCCTTGACGGCGACGCGCAGGCCCACGTTGTCCTCGATACCTTCTTTGTCAGCGAAATACTTGATCTTCTCGGCGGCCTTTGCCGAAATCTCAACGCTGAGTTCTACGCCGTTCTGTGTGATGGGCATGGTGTGGTAACCCCCTGGTCGGAAGTTGGTGATGAGGTGATTGTACGAAAAATGTCGCCGCCGCGTCAAATGTCCTCGTCAGTTTTCCAATCGCGGGTCCAATTTGTCGAGCAGCGTTCGTACATCGTCCAATCCGTCAGCGATGAAATCCGCGTCGTACATGTTTTCATGGAAGTTTGTGTGCAGGTCGCTGGCGATTTGAAACAGTCTGCGGATGTCCGCATCGCCCGTTTCCGTCGTCAACCGCCTCGCCACCTGCCATAGGAGGGCGTGTCGCTTGTGGTCCCAACCGCGCTGCTCCGCGACAGCCTTGATCATCTGCGCGGCAGAGCCCCAGCCTTTTTCGGAGGCTTGACGAGCGTCTCCCCTGGTGAGTTTATCTCGCGCTTGAGATAGCAGGAGCCGGCTTGTGTTGTGATAGGTCTCGGTGTTCATGTTCTGGGGCTTCTGGAACGGTTGTCGAACAGGGACTGTGCGGCGAGAAGTCGGCGTTCTTCTGGGGATAGTTGGGCGAAGTCGCCGAGAGCTGTTTGGGCACGGGAGATGGTGTTCAGCGTGTCGTAACGGGTGATCGATGCGTTGGGGTTGTAATCGGCCTCATTGCGCTGTTCGTTCAGATCAATAAAAGTACGGGCAAAACTCTGCCCTGTTTGCGACAGTCGGTTGAGGATGCCGCGTAGGTTGTTTTGCGCTCTGCCGTGGTCGAGGCGTCGATAGACTCGTTCCCACGCATAGGAGGAGAGGTTGGATTGTGGATGCCCGGCGATCAAGTCGGCATTGGATGCGGCGAGGGCGTGGAACAGGGCATAGTAGGCGGTGCTGATGGCCCGGCGCATGTCCGCTTTTGAAGGTTGTACTGTCGCCGGTTGCGGAACGAGCTTGTAGCAGGCATCGATAAGTTCCTGCGGATCTATCATGGTCCCGCTGGTGGTGGAGCCGGCGCTTTTGGTGATCGCTGACGGGTGGGATCTTTGAGATAGGTATAGTGGATCAGGGCGTGGGCAGTTACGCCAGTGGCCCGTATGGGCTCGTCTATTACCTGGAAGAGCGTGTTCATGAGACGGCCGTCGAGCATCGGGTCGAGCGCGGTGTAGAGGAGTTCGACGTTGAGGAACTCTTCCTCTTCGCCATTGACCATGACGGTGACGGTCGCATCTTCGAATTCCACACTGGCGGGGAAGTGGAGTTTCGCTCCATCAAGGATTATTTCCTTTACCCCTTTGACTTGTTTTTCTGTGATGGTCATATGGGACCCTTCATTGAGGAGGTTTCAGTCTTGATGTTATTGCCGTGGTTCTTGAAAGTCAATCTTGGTGCCGGTTGCTTCTGAGGGATTGTCGTTTTAGGGTGATCACTGGGATTGAGGGTTACACTTAGGTATTTCATGGCGTAACTTGGTGCTGCCGGAGAGTGTCGCCCCGTCCGAGATTGGACGGGGCGATCGGTTTTGTTCAGCAGCCTCCGTTGCTAATCAGATAGTCGCACCGTTGGCACAGGCGGTTGCCCGTGCCTTGCCCCTGGACCCTGTTACGCGCCGGTATGGCCTGTCCACGGTCGCAGTTGCTGCAAACGTGGTACACGTCGGGATCGGCGGGGTTGCTGGAATGAAATGGATTTACGCGTGCCGTTTTCGGGCCCTCCGCTGTTTTGAATGTGCAATTCGTTTCATATCCGGGGGAGGACGATTTGGTTTTATACCTCCATCAAATTGGCAGCAAAAAGCCCGCCGGCGAGCGACGGGCGTTGACAATGGGTATCGCGGGGCGATTGTACGCCCCGCGATACAGGTTTTGGGAACTCTGCGTCGCTCAGCCCCCGGAGGCCAATCTGGGGGCTTTTTCTGCTTTCGATAGGTACTACGCGACCATAGATATGTCAATTGTCCCGGAACACTGTAACTGTTCACGTTTGAGGGGACGGAATTGATTTGCAGAGGACAATCCGTGCTTGGCTGCCCGTCCGCAAGAAGCCGGATAGCCTTTAGATCCCCCAAGTCTGAACAGTTACGGAACACTGGTTCGGCAATGGCCGCCGCAATTACGAACTCCGGCACCGTGATTTCATAGCGCCATGACTATCCTGATCACGACGGAAAGTGCGATTGCCAAAATTACGTAGTCGACCTCCGGATGGCCGAGTGTTTGCCGCGACGGATCAACCAGTTCGGTCTTTACCCTCCCCCTCCGCCGTCAGCGTAAAGCACATCCGCCCCGCCCTGTGGTCCCAGATGGTCTCCGAGAACGGCCGTCGCTCGGCCGCCCGCTCCGGACTCTCGGCGGCGGAGATGGCGCACAGCTCGTAGTCGGTGTCTTCGAGGATCCGGTACTCGCAGGGCGCGCCGGTATCCGGGTCCTCAATCGACCGGACGAAATACTGCGCGGCCAGCAGGTCGGACGGGATGCTTGTCATCCCGTCCGAACACTTCAACCGACGCTTGGCCTAGTATTCGGTCAATGTTGGAGTGGCAGGGATAAAACCGATGCAGTTTGTGTCTGGTATCCTGAGTGGTGAACCGCCAGTCGATGGTGGCTTCCTTAGCGTTACGCTCAGTCTCATAGACGCCGATGGCCCGTGGCTGGGCAGGTTCGTCGGGATTGCGCCCCTGGAAACAAGCCCGGGTCAACACGCTGAATTCAATCTCCGCCATGTTCAGCCAACTGGCATGCTTGGGAGTGTGGTGAAACTCGAGGCGTTTCACGATGCGCCGAGCCTCAGCAGCCGGAAAGGTCTCGTATAGGGAAGCCATGCGGTGGGTGTTCAGATTGTCGAGCACCACCCGTACCACCGGAGCGTGGGGATAGGCCACATCCACCCCAACTCTACCGCCTGGTCGGCCAGCAGCCGCAGGGTAACTGGTCAAGGGCTCAGCGGTCATGTCCTTCGGGCGCAGCGCTGCACGCCAGCGCGATCAGATGGGCTTCGCCACGATCATCCAGCTTACGATACCGGTTGGCTTGAGGATGGTCGTGCAGCACGCCATCCAATCCCTCCTCGGCGTAGCGCCGTTTGGTGCGGAACACCGTGCGTTGCGACGTGCCCAGCGCTGCCACCACCTGGGACGCACTCCATCCTTCGTTAGTCCGGAGCAGGATGCGCGCCCGCGTGATTACCCGAGCCGAATGCTGGCCGCTGCGTGTCAATTGTCTGAGCCCTGCTCGCTCTTCCACCGTCAACTGTACCCCGTATTTCTCCTGAACCATGGATGCCGCATCTCCCGCACTGCTGATTGCTACTCAGCGTAGCCACTCCAGCTCACCTCGCGCCGTATCTGTCGATACAGGTGTGACTGAATACTAGATGCCGGCCTCAGCGTACTTCATCGACGCCAACCTCCTCCTCTTGCTCGTTGTGGGCAGTGTAAGCCAAGCTGCGATTTCCAGACACCGCCGACTTCGAACTCGAGCGTTCACGCCGGAAGATTACCGCACCTTGCTTAATTTGATCGACCGAGTTGACCGTGTGCTGGTCACACCGAACACCTTGGCGGAGACATCCAATCTACTCGGGCCAACACGGGGAACCGGAACGTACGCGTTTTTTCGCCCGCCTGCAGGCCATCATCGAGGTCACCGAAGAAGTTGTCGTTGCCAGCGCGGAGGCCTCCAGCAATAGCGTATTCCTGCGCCTGGGCTTAACCGATTGCGCGCTCCTGGAGGTCGCCAACGCGGACACGCCCGTGGTTACGGTAGACTTCGACCTGTACCACACCGCTCTGACGACGGCTCCCGACAGCGCGATCAACTTCAACCACCTGCGTCTCCTCTAGGTGCCGATGCGGCGGCGGCAATGACGCTGGTGGTCCTGTTCGTCGCCACCGTCCTGACCCTGGCCGCGAGCAAGGTCATCTTCCGCGCCTACATACGCGACCTGGACTGACGATCTTGACTGTAACGGCAACCTCATGGGCGCGGCGGGCGGCTATGCTACTATGTCCCAGATCCACGCGCGTCAACCAGTCCCGCCCAGGCTCGCGAGGGAGACTATGGATACGTTCAAGACCACTGGCACAATCTCCAAGGACGGCGTCCTGACTTTGAACGATCTGCCCTTCGCGGAGGGGATTGAGGTAGAGGTCACCGTCCAACGGCAACCCGACGGATACGTTCGAATGGAAGTGGACCCGAACGATCTCAGCCGCCCGGCGTTGCACAATCCAAACAAAGGCACTGTCATCTGGTACCACGACCCATTTGAACCGGCGATCCCCGAGGAAGAATGGGAAATGCTCGCCGGTGGCAGCCCATTGGATCAGGCGAATCCAGGGGTTCAGGACTGAGCAGGGCAATCTTCATTGATCGTCCTGGATACACACATCCAAATCTGGTGGATCGAGGAAGTCGGTCGCCTGACTGGGCCCCAGCGGTCAGCCATTGAAGCAGAGCGCGGGCAGTCTGGGACAATTGGCATCAGCGCCATATCCTGTATTGAGATCTCGCGTTTGGCTGCCGCACGCTTGATCGAGTTGCCCACTGACGCTCTGGCGTGGATTAGCGGATTGTTGAGCTATCCTAACGTGCAATTGCTGCCCATCACGCCCGAAATTGCCGTCCGTGCCTACAATATGCCGGAGCCCTTCCATCGTGACCCGGCAGACCGTATCCTGGTCGCGACCGCGCTGGAACTTTCCTGCCCCTTGCTGACCTCAGACAGTCGCATCATCGACTACCTCATATCACTACCATCAGCTAAAAAGGATCTCCCATGCCCGACTCCCTGTCCCGCCAGCTTGCCCGCTGGGCCGTCAACCTGGACGCCGCCGACCTGCCGCCGGCCGTCGTCGACAAGATGCAGACCTCGCTGCTTCACGCCACGGTTGTGGCCATCATCGGCGCCGAAACCCACCACGGCAAGGCTGCGGTGGGCCTGGCCCTGGCCGAGGAAGCATCGGCCCACGGCGCCAGCATCCTCGCCTCGGGCGGACGCGCCACCCGTTGCGGGGCCGCCTTCGCCAACAGCAAGCTGATGCATGCCACCAACCAGGCCGATTCCTACCGATGCTCACCCATCCCGGCCCGTGCGTCATACCCGCCGCGCTGGCCTCCGCCCAGCTGGGCGGCGCGACCGGGGCCCAGCTCATCACCGCCATGGCCGTCGGATACGAGGTGGAATCGCGCATCGCCGGCGACTTTATCGCGTCGACGCAGGCACGAGGATTCCGCTCCAGCCCCGTCTACGGGACGCTGGGAGCCGCCGTGGCCACCGGCAAGTTACTGGAGCTGACCGAGGACCAGATGGTTACCGCCATCGCCCTGGCCTGCACCTTCACCGCCGGCACCAACGAGGGACCACGCTCCGGCGGGCGGGAGATGATGTTCCACGAGCCTCAGTCCACCCGCAGCGGCATCATGTCCGCTCTGCTGGCCCGCGAGGATGTACGCGGCTCCGAGGAGGCCCTGGAGGGGCCGGCGGGGTTCTACAACGCCTTCACGGGCAACAACCGGGGCGAACTCTCCTACGTGTTCACCGGCCCCGAGCAGGTGTCCTTTGAGCCTGTGACCGAGGGTCTGGGAACCCGGTGGGAACTGCTGCACACCGTGCTCAAAATGTACCCCACGGCCGGCTACAACTGCCCCGTGATAGACCTGATGACGGACATCCGGCGATCCCACCAGCTGGCCATCGACGAGATCGAGCGCATCACCATCGACCTGAACTGGCTGGAGACCCTCTACCCGTCGCCGGCCTTCCCCAACCCGTCTCGCGGCCAGGCAATAGTGGGCAGCACTCATTACTTCACCGCCTACGTCGCCGTAAACGGGAGCTATCCTCCGCTGCGCACCCGCATCGATCCGGGCGACGATTCCGATGCTGCCACCGCCGAAAACCACGACGCCGTGCTCTCCCTGATGCACAAGGTACACACCGTCGGTCACAAGGACCGGCCGGCTTTTGCTCCGCGCATCACCATCGACATGGCCGGGGGCAACGTGTACCGCGGCGAGTACCAAGGCAACGAACTGGAATGGGGCCTGGACGCCGAGGTGGAGCGGCTGCAACCACTGTTCCCGCAGATCCACTGGCCCGCCGAAAAGCTGGAGGCCACTGTATCCGCGGTGCGCTCAGTTCCGGGCGCCGGCGATATCGGCGATCTGATTGCCGCCGCCACGCCCTGATGTCACATTCCCGAGTCGAGCCGGATTTCCGTCAGGCTCTATAATCCCGCAGACGGCCCGACAGGCCGACCAACTCAACCGAACGCAGGAGTAGATCATGCTGCCAGGACTGGAAGGCAAGGCCGCGCTGGTTACCGGAGGGAGCAAGGGCATCGGCAAAGCCATCGCCTACGCACTGGCCAGGGATGGCTGCGCCGTCGCCATCTGCGCCCGCGGCGAAGACGACCTTCGGGCCGCCGCCGCCGAAATCGGCGATGCCACCGGCGCGCGTGTCATAGCCATCCGCGCCGACATGGCGGCGCCCGACGATATCATCAACCTGGTGCGCGAGACAGCCAACGGACTGGGCCGGCTCGATATCCTGGTCAACAACGCGGTGAACAGCACCAGCGACCGTGCCAGCCAGATCCCGGACGACGTGATCCTGAATCACATCACCACCAAGGTGATGGGCTACATCCGCTGCGCCCGGGAGTGCGTGCCGCACATGATCGCGTCGGGCGGCGGCCGCATCATCAACATCGGCGGCATGGCGGCGCGCAACTCCAGTCCAACCAACCCGGGGTCAGGCGTCACCAACTCGGCGATGTCCAACTACTCCAAGGCCCTGTCGGACGATGTCGCCGCCGACGGCATCCTCGTCAACTGCATCCACCCGGGCAGCACCCGCACCGAGCGCTACATGGGCCTGGTTGCGGAGCGCGCCGACCGAAACAACACCTCATCGGAAGCGGAGCTGGCTGGTTCAGTTGGCGAAATACCAATCGGCCGCATGATCGAGCCGGATGACATCGCCAATCTCGCGGCGTTCCTCTGCTCGGATCTGGCGTCCGCGATCACCGGCCAGACCATAGCGGTGGACGGCGGGGCGGGACGCGGCGTCCATTTCTAGCCGCACGCGTCCCGCGAGTCTGCGCGGCGCCGGCCCGTGGTTGACGCCGCAGGCGTACTCCCTGCGGCGGCGCGACCCGATGGGCCTTCAGCTCATGCCCAATTCACGCAGCGCGTTGGCGAAATTGGAGTCCAGAACGTAGGCGTCTTCCGTTCGGTCGTAAGTCAACGGCCGAGGCAGGTCCACGTTACCCCGACGGCGCTTCAGTCGGTTCAGGCTGTGACCCTGGCTCGACAGCGACCCTGACAGTTCGCGCTGTGTGAGCCGCAGGGTGTGCATTAGCTGGGCGCGCTTCTGAGTATAGTTGGGCGACCGGGAAACCCTCATCATGGCCTGCCGCGCCGTGTCTGACAGGTTCCGCCAGAACGTTGTGACGTAGCTCGCGTTCCAGGCAGCTCCCGATGCTTCAGCCGTCGTTTCGTCCGGCTCTCCTTCTTCTGTCCCAACATTCGGCAATATGCTAACGGCTGTTGCTTCATCGGCCGTTTCTCTTGCTGCTGCAGTAGGTACAGCCACGGTCGGGTCGGAAACCCGACCGGCCATCCCCCTCAGCGTCGCCACCACCTCCTCCACATCGCCCTCAATCGTTACTGTGACGTTGGCCAAAGTTTTGCTCCTGGTTGCCTGAATTTTACGCTGTGCTGCCGGAACTCTATATAATCTAACACACGTATTGCTCAATACACCATACCACTCAATAACCAAAATTAATTTCACCGATTAATCGCGGCCAATAACGCCGCTTCCAATACTCGCGGCGGTACATATTGCTCAAATCGATCACTGATTCGGCCATCGCTTCCCACAACGAACGTCCATGGCTCGGATACGAGGCCCCATTCGGAAACGGCCGGAACCAACTCTCGCGCCGGATCTGCGGGGTTGATCAGGTGCGGGTCGCGGTACACCTCAACATGGACGAAGCTGGCCTGCCCTTCATACCTTCCGGCCAGTTCCGATAGATCCGCCACCTGCGGACCGCACGTCGCCGTAACGCAGAAAGCCGGCGTGGCAAAGCTGACTACGGCCGGCTTTCCCGCCCGCACCGCCTGCGCCACCGACAATCGATACAGCGCCGGATCCGGTTCGGGGCTGCTGCTGATGGTTTCAAGGTCCGCGGCGGTCTTCCCCGTAGGAGTGTCGGATAGAGGCGCTGCGTCACCGATGAAGGGCGCGCGATGAGACTCCGCCACCGACACCACCGAGCCTATGGTCAAAGGCTCCGCGTCTGCTGCGGGCGATTGAGCGTAGTCGAACGTGGCATGCAACTCCCAGATGCCCAAGGTATCGCCGGTGGCGGTTCCTGCCCGATCGAAAGAAACATTGGCGCTGAACACTCCCCGGCGGCCATCCGGCGGCCAGGGCAGGAATTCCGCCTCGGTCCGGTGCCGCACCTGGCCCGTCGCGGATCCCGGTTCGTAGTACACCGCGCGCAACGCCACGGCGTCGGGGCGCACCGGCATATAGTCCCGATCCACCAATCCGAACGACAATCGGTTGTCTCCCACTGCGAGGTCGCTGTTGCTTACCACCAGGCTCACCGGCGGCCCTCCTGGAGGCTGCGACAACGGATCGTCGGGAGTCACCACCGGCGCACATGCCATCACCGTCAGCGACGCCAGAACAAGCAATGCAGTCAAATTCGGTCGCAGCACCAAGCGACCGGTCGTCCACTCACTGGCCGAATCAATAAGGCTGGTATAAGAGGGGATCAATGCAATCCTTCTGACTTTGGACTTACTGGTGAATTCCTAATGGATACAAACTATATACGTGTCGAAACATGAAACCGGACTGGTTCCAAATCGAGTATCCATTATATTGCTCGAAATCCGACCGTTCTCAACACGGAAGGCGATGTCTGAGGCGGGAAACCATCCCCGCGCAATGCGATATCGATCCGCCGATTGGCTTTCCGTTGTCGGCCAAGGCCAGTGGCGGGGGCGATTTCACGGTGGTTCCGACGGGACCCCACTCCATCACTGCCTTCGCCGTTCCTGAGCCATTTTTTCATCCAACCGTCGTTCCCATCCGGCGTCGGCATCAATTGCCACGCAAGTATAGGCAGTGCGGCACAGCGACGCAATGCCGATACACTCCCGGAACGTTGTTGTCCGATAACGTCTGCGACCGCCATCGACCCGCACACCGGGCTCAACGCACTTGGGCGCGGGCCCGCAATTTTAGTCTATAATCTCCATACTCCCATCTCGATACTCCAAGCGAGGCAGATATGCGCTTCGGTTCCTTCGTCTTTCCCGTCAGCCACCAACCCGAGAACGACTCGGCCGTCATCGACAGCACCCTCGACGAGATCGTGCTCGCCGAGCAGATCGGCATGCACTCGGTTTGGCTAACCGAGCACCATTTCGACGGCGCGGCCGCTCACGCGGACCCGCTGGTGCTGGCCGCCGCCGTGGCCTCCCGGACCGCCCACCTCAAGATCGGTTTTGCCGTCATCGAACTGGCTTTCCATCATCCCGTGCGCCTGGCAGTACAGACCTCCCTGCTGGACAACTTGAGCCACGGCAGACTCATCGTCGGCACCGGCCGCGGGTCCGCCTACAACCACTACGAGTACATCGGGTTCGGCATCACCATGGAGGACGGACTGGCGCGCCTGGACGAAGCCGAGGATCTGCTGGTCAAGGCGTGGACCGGCGAACCATTGCAGCACGAAGGCGAGCACTGGGACCTGGAGTTCCCGCTGCTGAGACCGCGCCCATTTCAGCAACCCCATCCGCCGCTGATCCGCGCCTGCATCAGCGAGGCATCGGCGGTGAGGATGGCCGAAATCGGACGCCCGGTGATGATCGGCATCCAGACCCTGCCGACGCTGCAGGCGCGCCTGGAACGTTACCGCGCCACCATGCTCGATTCGGGTTTCACCGAGGAACAGACCGAAGCCACCCTGGACCAGTGTTGGGCGTCCCGCGACCTCTTCATCGCCGACAGTTACGACGAGGCCCACGAGATCGCGGCCGCAGGTTTCGAGCGCGAGCGCACCCACTTCCGCCGCGCCCGCGAACTTTACAACCCCGGGGGGTTCCCTCCTCCCGATCCCAACCGTCCCATCCCCGCCGGAGAGAGCCTGGAGCATTCCTTCATCATGGGCACACCGTCCCAGGTGGCGGAGCAGGTGGCGGCCATGCGGGACATCGGCATACGCAACCTGATGCTCAAGCTCAACGTCGGCGAGATGGACACCCACAAGGTGCAGAAATCCATGCGGATGCTCGGCGAGAAGGTGATGCCCCACTTCGCCTAGTTCTGGCCCTGCTCCGACGGTGGCGGCACTTCCGCATCCTCAGGGGATGAAAGCCCAGCCGGCATCACGATATCGACCGGTATCTCGACATCTGCGAAGCAGCCGGGCCGCAGCACGTCGCCAACTCGCAGACGACGCGTCACTCGATAGCCGTCCTCGGTCGGTTCCGTGTGCGCCTCCACCACACCTTCCGGCAGCACCGTTAGCCAAACCTCGGGGATGCCCGCCCGGGCGTACCTGGGCAGTTTCTCGTCGCGGTCGTAGTCCACTGAGCTATCTGCCACCTCGATTACGAGCAGTACGTCCTGGGGGCCGGCATGTCCCGACGCGTAAAAGTCCGCCCGTTCCTGTAACAGAACAAGATCAGGCTGTGGTTCAGTTCCATCGTCCAACCGAATGGGGCTCTGAACCTGTACGATGGCCCGCCTCCCGACGGCCTCAGTAAATGCGCGAACGTAAGCATTGACGCAGCCTAAGTGGCGACTGCCGATGGGCGCCATGTTTACTATCACTCCATCCAGCAGTTCCACCCGGTCGTCCTCAGTCAGAATTCCCGCCTCGGCCATGGCGTGGTATTCGGCCACCGTGAACCGGCGCAGAGGGAGTTCCAACGCGCTGGAAGAATGCGGTGGCGCCTTGGTCTGCGTCGTCATCCTTATCCCCTCTCCCGCTAACCGGGCAGGATTTCGCTGACCGGGAGAGTGATGTCGGGAAAGTAGCCGGGGGTAATGGTGTCGCCGGGAGCATAGGTTCGTCGAACCGTGTATCTGCCGTCGGCCGGTTCGGTATGCGCCTCGACTATGCGCTCAGGAAGGACGGTTATCCAGACTTCGGGGATGCCCGCCCGCGCATAGCGTGGGAGTTTCTCCCCGCGGTCATAGTCCACCGAACTGTCAGCAACCTCGATCAGTAGGAGCACGTCTTCGGGGCGAGGTGTCCCCGTCCGGTAAAAATCGGGCCGCTCGCGTAGCAGCATCAGGTCCGGCTGGAGCCGGGACTGCCCGTCCACGGCGAGCGGCCCCTGGACACGCAGGATCGCCCGCTGGGCGACGGCAGTTGACAACAACCAGGTGAATATGTCGACGGTTCCAGCATGGGGATCTCCAATCGGGGCCATATCCACTATCACTCCGTCCAGCAGTTCCACACGATCGTCCTCGGTCAGAATTCCCGCCTCGGCCATGGCGTAATATTCGGCCACCGTGAACCGGCGCAGGGGGAGTTCCAGCGCGCTGGAAGAATGTGGAGGCGCCTTGGTCTGCGTCGTCATCCTTGACCCCTCTCCCACTAACTAGGAAGGATTTCGCTGACAGGAAGTGTGATGTCGGGAAAGCAGCCGGGGCTAATCGTATCGCCGGGACCAAAGGTTCGTCGAACCCTGTATCTGCCTTCGGCCGGCTCGGTGTGGGCTTCCACGATGCCTTCAGGAATGACCGCAATCCACACCTCCGGTATGCCGGCTTCGGCATATCGAGGCAGCTTTACGTTACGGTCGTAGTCCGCAGTGGTATCCGACACCTCGATCAACAACAGCACGTCATCCGGCCCCACCCGCTGCGAGGTGTAAAAGTCGGCCCGCTCCCGCAGCAGAACGAGGTCCGGCTGCGGCATCGAGCGATCGTTCAGCGCAATTGACCCCTGCGTTCGCACGATGCCACGGGTTCCCACGGAGATGACCAAGTTGCGGGTGGACTTGTCTACGCTGGCCTGGTGCGGATTTCCGATGGGGGCCATAACGATAACCAATCCGTCGATCAGTTCGACGCGCTCTTCCAGGCCCAGTATGCCGGCCTCGGCCATCGCAAAGTACTCGTCGATGGTGAAGAGGCGTGGTTGGGGCTGAACGCCCGGGCTGGCCTCCGGTTTGGCGTGGAGCCTGGTCTGCGTCGTCATCATGCTCTCCCGGCGCGGTTCACGCGCCGGTCACAACCCTCGCACCATGGCGTCCAGGCTCTCCAGGGCCCGGCTGATGTTCTCCTGGCTGTTGGCATAGGATAGCCGCACGTAGCCCTCGCCAAACGCGCCGAACGCGGCGCCGGATAGCAGCGCGACGCCGGCCTCCTGCATGGCGCGCTCCTCGAACTCCGCGCTGGTCAGGCCGGTGTCCTTGATGCTGGGGAAGGCGTAGAACGCGCCCTCGGGCTCGGGGCAGTTGATGCCAGGGATTGACTGCAACCCGTCGGCGATCAGTCGGCGACGGCGCGCGAACTCGGCGGCCATCTCCTGCACGGCGTCCTGCGGCCCGTCTAGCGCGGCCACGCCGGCCATCTGGCTGAACGACGCGGCGCAGGACACGCTGTTGGTGGCCAGCCGCGATACGTGAGGCACCAGCTCCTCCGGCAATATCCCGTAGCCCAGCCGCCAGCCCGTCATCGCGTAGCTCTTGGAGAAGCCGTCCAGGATGATGGTGCGGTCGGCCATACCGGGCAGCGCGGCGATGCTGTGGTGCTCGCCGGAGTAGAGAATGTCCTTATATATCTCGTCCGACATGACGTACATGTCAGGGTGGCTCCGCACCACGTCGGCGATGGTCTCCAACTCCTGCAGGGTGAAGGCGGACCCACAGGGGTTCTCCGGCGAGTTGACGATCAGCAGCCGCGTGCGCTCGTTCACCATCTCAGGCAGACGGCTCAGGTCGGGGTGGTACGCTTTGTCTTCCAGCAACTGCATCGGCACAGCCTTGGCGCCGCTGAACTCGATCATGGACTCGTAGATGGGGAACCCGGGGTTGGGGTAGATGACCTCAGCGCCGGCCTCGGCGATGGCGAGCAACACGTAGAACATGATGGGCTTAGCGCCGGGCGTAACCACCACCTGCTGCCAATCGGTGTCGATGCCGCGAACCTCACGGCTGTTGCGGGCGACCGCTTGGCGAAGTTCGGGGAGCCCCGGCGTGGGTCCATAGTGGGTGTAGCCGTCCTGCAGCGCCTTGACACCCGCCTGCACGATGTGCTCCGGCGTCTCGAAGTCGGGCTCACCGATCTCCAGGTGCACGATTTCGCGTCCCTGCGCTTCCAGCGCCCGCGCCCTGGCCAGTACCTCGAAGGCGGATTCGGTTCCCAGGCGGCTCATTCGGGTGGCAATAGTCATGGCTTGGCATCCCTCAATTCAGTTTCGCAAATCGGCCGGCGGCCTGAAGGCAAGGTTATCACATCACGGCGCACCGGTATCCGCTCCGTCATCGCCGACTCAGGGCAGTGGTATTTCCGCCTGGAAAGAGGTAGGAGTCTGTATTACCGACGGTCAATGCTTCAATATTCAACAACCGCGAGGTACGTGATACGATCTGGCTATGCTACGAATATTAACCTGGCTGTTTCGACCCTATATTCACTTTTTGCGTTCCACCGGTGGCATGGCCACTCATGTTAGAATATTGCCGTTCGGCTCCGCTGTTGGAACCTACCTTGTAGCTAAATTCATTTGCCAAGGCTCTTGGCTATTTTGGCGGGACTGGGACGCAGTGCTACAGGCGCCGGGTCTTGGTGTCGTCGCCTACTCGTCCATTACGGCATCATCGGAGGGCATGATTATGCTGGGCATAATGGCAGCCGAGTATCTTAGAAACAAGGAGAAGCGGTCGCGAGAGAAAACCGCGCGTGAACTGCTCGAATTGGCAACGACCGAAGAGCAAATTCAGTTGGCGGTCAGTTGGGCGGAAACCCACGGCGTTCGCGTCGATGATCTCCGTGACGATGAAGGCCGACCGTATCGCAGCTCCTACCGCCGGGTCCGACACCGACGTCGGCGCGCGCCGAGGCCGTAACGCGTCGAGCCAAGCCCAAGAGCAGGGGCCGGGAGCGTTTGCTCCCGGCCCCTGCTCTTGATTCCGGGTGCGCCGTCCAGCGGAAGGCACACCGGCGCGTTGCTCAAGCTATAGTTTCCAGAAGCTGCCCACCTGGCAGACGATATCCACCTTGTTGATGGACTCGGCCGGCCAGCCCACCATGTTGAGCCAGTCTTCGAAGTGGGACTGTTCCACCGCCTCGCACTCGGAGATCAGCTTGCCATTCTCCAAGTCGCCGTAGACCTTGAGGACGGTGGTGCGCCGGTCGGGTCGCCACTTGCGGACGGCGTCCAGCTTGTCCCGGAAGTCGGCCTCGGTGATGCCGGGTACGTTGTGAACGGCAATAAAACGTGCCATCGGTTGCAACTCCTGCGCTGGCGGATTTGTATCAATCTTGGGCGGGCGGTACGAAGGGGTACGGGATCGGCGGGCCGTCCCGCAGGGGCAGAACCACCGTCGCCGTGCCGGGCATGCTTTCGATGCCATCATGGGTCTTCATGCCAACTTCCAGCTCGATAAAGCCCATCTGATCCTTTTCGTACTTGCTGGTGACCCGGCCCCACATGATCAGCACGTCGCCTGGGACCAGCATCGCCCGGTGCTCGAAGCGCGCCTTCCACGGCCAGCCGTTGGGCAGCGTCCAGTCCTTGAGGTACTGGGGCACCACGCTCTGCTTCCACGAGCCGTGCACCAGGATGCTGGGGTTGCGGTCGTGGTTCAGGCCAAAGTCCAAATCGTAATGGATCCGGTGGAAGTTCTCGATGGCCGCGCTCCACCGGAAGAGGTGGGTCGGCGTGGGCTTGTAGATGTACTTGGGCAACTCATCGCCCTCGTTCACGTCCTCGTAGTAGGTCTGCGCCTTGTCACGCAGGCCATCGGCGTCCGGCCGCTCATTGAGCTTCCAGATCTCCTCGGCCTCCATGTTGAGGAGGTCGTCCAGCAGGATTGTCATGGCGTTTCTCCAGTGGGTCCCACGCCGCCGGAATCTAGCGGCGGATGGTTGAAGCGCGGGTGATGCACAGCGTAACGTCGTTCTGGTTCCAGAAGCGGGTCTCGCGGGTGATGATCAGGAACGGCGTACCGTCCCGCCCCAGGCGCTCGCGGATTTCCGAGTAGCGATTCTGGAAGAAGATATTGTCGCCGATGCTCGGGTAGGCGTACACCTCAATCTCGTTGCCGGCGTTAAGAACCCGCACCAGGTTGGTGGGCACGGGCGGCAATTCGCCAGGACGCTCCACGGAGCCGATGCCGTCTGATTCGGGGTTCTCCTCGAAAGCCGCGGTGATGGGATCGCCCTGGTCCGGCCGGATGCGGCTGGCCAGGTAGCTCACCATGATCGGAGGGGTGACAATCTCGCCGTAGCGGGTGGACTTGGCGAACTCGTCATCCCAATAACGCGGGTCGGGGTCCATCAGCGCCTGGGTGAAGCGACGCATATACTCGCCGTCCACCAGGCCCCAGGATTCGACGATGTCGCCGCTGACGCCCACCATCGCCTGCACTTCCGGCGTGAGCGCGGTGGGAGGGGCTTGTTGAGTCATAGGGGAATGCTCCGTACCTGTGGAGTTTTAGTGCACGGGCAAGCGTAGCGCAGGCCGCCCGGTTCGTCAATTGCAGCGCCTTGGACACGATGATAGAGTACCATTGCATGAACCGTTGCGAGGACTGCCATGACCACCGAACCCAAGGCTATACCCGACCCGCCCCGGATCAAACAACCTTCGATCACCGTAGCGCCTCATCTTTATGAGGACGGCATATACTACCCTTCCGCAGTCAACGGGCCCCTGCTCGCCCCACCTTCAGAGGCCGATGCTCCCCACTTGTACGAGGACGGCGTCTGCTACCCCGCAACGGACGGTGTGCCCTTGCCCGACGGAGAAACTCAAGGCTTCGTGTTCCAGGCGGTGGTAACCACCCTCCGTACCCACTACGCCCATCAACCCCGCACCCACGTCAACGGAAACACCTTCATATACTACGATCGGAACAACCCGCGCCGCTCCGTTTCCCCGGACTGCTATGTCGCCTTCGACGTGGATGTGGACGTTATCGACTTCCATGACAACTATCGGATCTGGGCAATGGGCAAACCACCGGACTTCGTGCTGGAAATCGCCTCCCGAAGCACCGCTGACAACGATCTCCACCCCAAGAGGGAGCTCTACGCTTACATCGGCGTCGAAGAATACTGGCGCTATGACCCCACTCCGGATAGCGCGTTCTACGGCGAGAAGTTGGTCGGTGAGCGGCAGGTCAATGGCCAGTGGGAACGCATCCCGGTGGAGACGGACGCCGAAGGCCGTCCCCGGGGTTACAGCCCCACCTTGGGGCTGGATTTGGTCTGGAAAGAGAACATCCTACGTTTTTATGATCCGGCTGCCGACTATTGGGTGAAAACCTACGAGGAAGAGCAGGCCGCCCGCGCCGCTGCCGAGTCAACGCTGGCCACCGAGCAGACCGCTCGCGCCGCTGCCGAGTCCGTCCTGGCCTCCGAACAAGCCGCTCGTACCGCCGCTGAGTCCGTGCTAGCAGGCGAGCAGGCCGCTCGCGCTGCCGCCGAAGCCCGGGCCGTAGAGCTGGAAGCCGAACTGCGTCGGCTGCGGGGCGATCCGGCCTAGCCCCTTCCCGTCTCCGCCCACACCAGGCTGGCCGCACCCACCATTCCCTGGCTGTCTCCGAAGGTGGCCGGCGCCAGCCGGAAAGCCCGGTGACCGGAGCTCATCGCTCGCCGCCTCGCGCCATCCTCGATCTGGCCCAGCAGATCCAGCTCCTGCAGGCCGATGGTCACGCCGCCGCCCATCACCACCACGTCGGGATTGAAGATGTTGAGCACATTGCCCAGCCCGACGATGATCGCCCCGACCGCCGCATCTATAACTTCCAGAGCCACATAGTCGCCGCGCGCGGCGGCGGTGAACACTGCCTCGCCGGTGAGCGCCGCATTGGCCTCGTAAGCCTGCTGCAGCGGCGACCCGGGAGTGGCATCTCCCGAGCGGGCCATGGCCGCACGGGCGATAGCGGTGCCGGAGGCCAGCGCCTCCAAGCAGCCGCTGTTGCCGCAGGCGCACTGCGGGGCGTCAGCCCGCAGGTCGATGGTCATGTGTCCAACTTCGCCGGCCGCTCCCACCGCGCCGGTGAACACTGCTCCCCGGTCGACGATGCCTGAGCCCGACTCCCAGTGCTGAAGGTTATGAACACCAGCGTGCGGGACGGGCGTGTCCTCGGGGCCGCACCGGCCGGCCGGCCCCGTAATATACTCGCCCAGGGCCGCCAGGTTGGCATCGTTGCCCACCCAGACTGGGCGCTCCCAGTATCGGCTCCCAAAGGGCGGGCAGCCTGACCCCGTTCAGAGCCGGCAGGTTGGGCGAGGACAGCAGCATGTTGCTCGCCGCGTCAATGGAGCCCGCCAGCGCGATTCCCGCGCCGGCAACGGGACGGTCGCCGGCCCAATCTCTCGCCGTCTGCAACAACCCGCCGGCGGCATGCACCAGCTGGTCCTGCATCGCGCCCGGCTCATTGGCAACCCGGTCCTGCCACAGAATGGTTCCCTGCCGGTCGATAACCGCGGCGCGGGCCCACGTCCCGCCCCAGTCCATCGCCAGCGCCACCGGCGCTTTTCCGGCCTCGATGTCGCTACCCACCGTCGTCATGGTTCGGCCTCCCAGTGGGCGCGATTGTAGCATTGCGTCCGGCGACCGGGGCTCCTAGCCGCCATTTCCCGGAGCTTCCGCCAGCAATCCATCCAGAGTGGACCGCAGGACGTCCTCCGGCATGGGTCCAACATACTTGCGCCGCACGACCCCGTCAGCGTCAATGAAGAACTTCTCCGGTATGCCGCGCACGCCGTATTCCAGCGCAATCGCTCCATCATCGTCCCCGCCCGTGGGATAGGCGACGCCGAACTCCACCAGGAAGGCCTTTGCCGCGTCCGGCGTGTCCCAGACGTTGACGCCCACGAACTCCACCGGCGCGTCGGCATAAGCGGCATAGATGCCGTTCAGCGTCGCCGCCTCCTGTCGACACGGTCCGCACCAGGACGCCCAAAAATCCACCATCACCACCTTACCCCTCAGGTCGGAGAGCCGCAGCATGTCGCCATCGGCCAACTCCAGCGTGAAATCCGCGGCGCGGGACTCGGATACCCGAACCTCGCCGAACTGCGCGTTGATGCCGGCGCCGGCAGGCTGTCCCTGCTGCTGCACCGCCGCCCATGCCAGAAGGGCAAACAGCGGGACCAGCGCCGCCGCCGTTCCCAGCATGATCCAGCTGCGCCGGGACATCAGCCGGCGCTCGCCGTCGGCCGCCGCCAGATGCCCCAGCCAAGCAATCCCGCCAGCGCAATGCCCACCATGACGGGAAGGGCACCGAACCAGAACCTCGCCTCCGATAGGGGGTTGCCCACCTTATCAATCCAGGTAGGCTCGGGCAATGCGGACAGGGTGATGCTGACCCCGTCGCCCGGCGCCAGGTTTTCCGCGCCCCACGCCCGGTAGGTGACCTCGCCCACGGTAAAACCATCGTCGGGCATCAGGCCGCCGACCCCGATGTTGCCGAACTCGGTCGGGATCAGCAGATTCAGCGATTCCGCTCCCTGCAGGGTGTTGTCCCGCCACGCCACTTCGTTCCCGTCGTATGGCACGGTGAACGTGAAACTCACCTGGTGCCTGCCCGGCGGGACGGGCGCGGTGATGGCGAATCCAGTTCCCACCGGTATCACCTCACCGCCCACCAGGTTGGTGGACACGTCCAGGTCGGTGGCCGCCGGCGGCAGGGAGAACCGCAGGAAGCTGAACTGACCGATCATGGGCGGGGCCGAGAGATCCGGAACCAGGGTGGTATCGCCGCGGTTTTCCAGGGTGAACAGTTGCACCGCCGCCATGCGCCGGGTCGCCGAGTCGATCCCCGCCACGATGATCGACTGCTCCGTGGTAACGACCACCCCGACGTCCCGGGTGAATTCGTAGACCGTCAGGACCACGGGCTCGGCTACATCCGACTGTGAGAGCACCTCGGTGTAACGGGTCTCCCCGTAGTCCACCGCCAACGCGAGGCTGTCGCCATCCGACATCGCCGGCACGCGGTCAAACCGGAAGGTTCCGTCGGCATCCGCGGTCTCTTCGTAGGTGTCGATGGATCCCGAACCCGCGCCGAACCGGTGCAGCAGCACGGTAACGCCGGCGAGTGTACCGCCGCCCTCAGTGCCGTTGACCACCATGCCAGTCACGGACACAGTGCCCGGTGACTGAGCATGTGTTGCCGCGGGCCCACCGGACAGCACTACCAACACCACTGCGACCACTACGGCGGCCCGTTTCAGGAACCGGGGGTCATCCATTTGACGCCTCGTCGTTCCTGCCTTCCCGGTCCATATCGCGCATGATCAGCGCGGCCTGCCGGCGGTATTCGTTCAGCTGCTCCCTAAAATCGGCATCCGCGATGCGGCCCAGGCTGTGCTCCATCTGCAGGGTGCGTATCGCCTCGTACACATCCTCCAGCGCAGCCTCACCCGTCATTGCGCCGCCATCCGTATCCGGTGGCTCCGGTGCAACGCCCGGCGCGCGCCATCGACCGGCCAGGAGCGGCCAGGCGACCACTCCCAGGATCAGCAACGCAACGGCTATCGCCAACCCCAGCTGCACGGCGGCCCTGCAGACTGACCGCTAGTCGGCCGCGCTAGCGGCCGGCGAGGCCACCGGGACCGGACGGCGCACCGGCGCTCGCGACGGCCACAGCGCGACCACCGTGCCGAATATCATCACCGGACCCGCCACCCACATCCACCAGACCAGCGGGTTCACCAGGATGCGGAACCCCACGGCGCCGTCCTCCCGGTTCTCGCTGGGTACCACATAGAAATCCTCAACGGGCGTGGAGCGGATGGCCGCCCGCGTTGACGCCATGTTGAAGTCCGGGTGGAAGGTTCGCTGCGGGTACATCACCTCGAGCAACTCCCCGCCCCGGTACACCTCCACCGTGGTCCGAAACTCCGTGCGATCAGAAAAAGCCAGCGCGGTGGTGTCCACGTATTCCAGCGTGTAGCCTTGCACGGTTACCGACTCGCCCGGCATCAGCGCAACGTCGCGCTGTATTCCGTAGAACGACTGGCCCACCACGCCCAAGGCGACCATCACCACCGCCAGATGCACGACGTAGCCGCCGTAGCGGGGGCGGTTCGCGAGGATCAGCCGAACGAAACCGACCGCCGGATTGTCGCCCACGCTCCGCTGCCGGGCGATGGTCCCGCGAACCCACTCCGACGCGATGCTGGTAGTTACCAGGGCGCACAGGGCAAAGCCAATTAACGCATAAGGCTGCCTGATTCCAACGCCTACCAACACCACCGCCGTGATGAGAGCAGCCGCTCCCGGGATCAGCAGCGCGCGCCGCAGTGAGTGCAGGTTCGCCCGACGCCACGGCAGCAGGGGCCCGACGCCCATGAGCAGCACCAGGGCCAGCATCAACGGGCCGTTCACCTGGTCGTAGAAGGGCCGGGCCACCGTGATCTCCTGCTCGGCGAAAAGCCGCGACAGCAGCGGGTACACCGTTCCCCACAGCGTGGCGAAGGCGATGCCCAGCAGCAGCAGGTTGTTCACCAGAAACGCCGATTCGCGGGAGAGCATCGAGTCCAGGCTCTGCGCGCTGCGCATCCGGTCGTAGCGCCAGAAGAAGACCGCCAACGGCACGATGACGCCGAAGGCCAGGAATAGCAGGAACACCCACCCCAGTGTCGACGCGCCGAAGGAATGCACCGAGGGCACCGGTCCGCCCCGGTTCATGAACATCCCGTACAGCGCCAGGGCAAAAGCCACGTCAATCAGCACGATGTTCCACATCCGGAACATCCCGCGCCGTTTCTGCACCATTATCGAATGCACGAAGGCCGTCAGCGCGATCCACGGCATGAACGCCGCGTTCTCCACCGGGTCCCAGAACCAGAACCCGCCCCATCCCAGAATGGTGTAGGCCCACCAGGAGCCGAGGAGCAGGCCGGCGGCCAGCAGCGCCCAGATACCCACGCCCCAGGCGCGGCCGGCGTCGATCCACTCGTCGCCGCCCTTGCCTCCAATGAGGCTGCCCAGCGAAAAGCTCATGGGTATGCTGATGCCCACCAGCCCGGCCATCAGAGCCGGCGGGTGGAAGAACATGCCGAAGTGCGTCAGCAGCGGGTTGATGCCCTGGCCATCCGGAACCGGGAAGGGCAGCTTGGCGAAGGGGTTCGCCATGAACCCCATCACCGCCAGGAAGAACACCTCAATCAGCATCAGGATGCCAACGGTCCACGCCAGCGTGGGCCGGGTGGACGACGGCGCCAGCCAGATCGCCAGCGCGGACATCACGGACAACGCGAAGGCGATGTACAGCAGCGAACCCTCGTTGCCGGCGTAGAACGCCACCCAGGTGTAGATGTTGGGCATGGCCAGGTTGCTGTGTTCCGCCACGTACTTCAGCGAGAAGTCGCGGATGATGAACGATTGCACCAGAGACAGGGTGGCCACCAGCAACACCACCACCAGGACGTAAGACGCCTTCCGGCCGCTGTCCACCAGCGCCGCCGAACCGCGCAGCTGGCCGCCCACCGACGCGAAGAAAGAGTAGGCCGCCAGCGCCAGCCCCATCCAGAGGCAAGCGGCTCCCAGGTCAGCCATGTTTAGGCATCCTCAGCATTATCGCGGCCGTCCAGCGCCAGGTCCCGGTCCACGGCGGCGAGGTAAGGCTGCAACTCGTCAGTATCGCTAGCAGCGGAATGCTCGTCATCGTCAGCGCGCCGCCCGCGCATCGCTCGCAGGGTGAGCAGTCCGCCGGCCAACGCCGCCACGACAACCACGCCGGGGACTATCCAGGCGATCAGGTAGAAACCGGAGCGCGGCGGCTCTGCCAGCACGCTGGGCCCATACCGCTCCGACGCGGAGAACCAGGCCAGTACCTCGTCCCGGGTCGCTCCCGATGCCAGCATTTCCCTCACCTGCGCCCGCATCTGCTTCGCCAGAGGCACCTCGGTCTGGTCGATGGTCTGCGCCGGACATACCGGGCACATGAGCATACGGTCTATCTTCTGCGCCTCGGTTTCATCATACGAGCCGGCGCGGTCACCGGATTGGGCCGCCGCCACGCTGACGAACAGCACAGCTACGACGACTGCCACGCCCATTGCTGTGCATATCCTGCCGGCGTCGGCAATCGCACTTAGGATCACGGCGACTGACCTACGCGCCTGACCCAGCCAAACGCCAGAAATGCCGCCGGCCTGACAATCACTATGCCGCGAAACGGGTTCATTACCAGCAGGTCGCAATCGCCAGAAACGACGTAGTCCGCATGGCCGTCGATGGCCAGTTCTAGAATTTTGTCGTCTTTAGGATCTCGACACGCTTGAACCGTCTGGGTGATTTCGATTAGCTCTGCGTCTCGTATCAAATCGCGCAGCAACCGTTTACGTTCTTCCACAGTGACGTAACGGTCAAACTTGCTCCTGCTGAGTACATCTTCCAACTCATCGGCTTGCGGCTTTGACATCAGAAGCGTGCCGGGCGATAGGGCTAGCAGCAATGCCAGCCCCGGCGGAGACGAGTAGTTGAACAGAAATGCACTGACGATGACGGTCGAATCAAATACATACCGGAGCATCTAAGTCTCATCCAGTATGGATCGCAGGATGTCCGGCGTCAGCTCCCGCTTTTGGGCGTTGCGGCTGACTTCCATCATAGTCTCTTGCAGCGATTTCCCGTCGTGCGGCACATCATGTAACCCCAAGCTAACCAGCAGGTCCATTTCGCGACGCTCAGTTTCAGAGTACGACCGATATCTGCTGCTGACCAGCATCTTGGTCAATAGATTGATATGTCGCTCGAATTGTCCGATCGGCTTTAGTTCGGCCCGATGTTTCCTCATTGTCCAGGTAGGAGGCATCTGATCAATAGCAGCCGATTTGCCTGATGTTTCCCGTGCAATGTCGGGTTTCGACCAAGCGTCAAATAGAACGGTGTCGGGCGCAATCCCCAAGCATAGAACAGCTTCATAACTGCGGTGAGGCCGGATGTGGTTGAACTGAAAACGGCCATCCGCGCGTTCAGTAGACGTCTTCAACGCAAAGGTTGCCCCGTTGATTTTCAGATCCCAAGGATACTGCCACGACCGCATTGTTCTCTGTTGTGCCGGGAATTCGCAAACCAGCCCGATTTCGTCGCAAAACCGCGCGATAAAATCCAGACCGACATCCCTGACTAACGTGCCGGACAGCTCCTTGATTTTCCCGAACGGCACGTTCGGCATATCAGTTACACCGGCATTCCTCTGGGGAGTGACATATCCCTCCAGGACGCCAAGCATGACGCGCTCTCCGTTAGTCATCAACACGCCCCCGTCAGTTTGTCCCAAATACAGCGCATACCTACACTACGGTGGTTGCGCGCTGCCGGGTAGTGCGCCGCAAGAAGAACATGTGGCCGACGGCCGCAGCTTCGACCTGTACCCAAAGCAGGGTCAAGTGAAACCACTGCCAAGCCCGCCAATTCCCTAGGCTGGTGCAAGCATTATAGCCCGCCCCATGAGAACCTCAAGCCGGTGGGCAGACTCAACCTACTGGCATGCCGCGGCATCGCCGTCCTGGATGCAACCTTCCACGTAGTCCAGCACCAGGTCAATCTGATTCGGAGTCAACAGTTTCTTGAAACTGGGCATCACGGATACGCCGCCTTCTATCACGCCCCGCAGGCCGGCCCGGTCCAGGCTGTTGGCCGCTTCCGAGGTCAGATTGGGGTTCTGGATGGGCAGGTCCACCGTCTGGTAGCCGTAATCCACGATCATTCGGGCCAGCACCGGGCCGTTGCCCAGTCCCTGGGGGCCATGACACATCACGCAGTTAGCTTCGAAGATGTGCTTTCCCGACCCCGCAAACGACGTCGGCTCCGGCGCGGTCGAACCGTACCACGGCACGGCTGAAGCCGGCACGCTAAGCCGCGGCGGCTCGTGGGCCTTGTACGACGGCTGGTAGTGCATCTCGTAGAAGATGTCCAGCGGGTAGGACCCCTGCGAACAGCCGGCGGCCACAATGCCCGCCGTCGCCATCGCGGCCAACAGCAGCGGCAACCGGAACCTGCCGGGGATCGAGCTAATCCGTGTCATCAAGTTTCGCATTGCAACTTTCAGCTTCGGTCATCGCAGCGGCCGGGCCCGGTCAGGCGCGGTTCGAGGTGACGTCCAACGCGCCCGCATGGTTCAGTATTTCGGTGACTTGAGGCTCTTGTGCCGCGCCGGCATTGACCACTACACCGATCAGGCCATCGGCGATACGGTCATCAGCGACGCCTGAGGGCAATCTGGTCCGCAACGATGTCATCAGGCCGATCACCGTAAAAAGTATCGCGCCCAGCATCGCACTCGCGAAGCACATGACCGCCAATGGCGGCATCGCCAGGATGGGCTTGGGTCCGGTCGTCATCGGCACCGCCAACGGCGTCATGCCGGCGACCACCAGGGCCGCAACAATCCCCAAAGCTCCGCCGATGAGCGGCCAAACGAACAGGTTGTGCTTCTCCATCCGTTCGCCGAAAGCCCCTTCGGGATAGGGGATGTCGGTTAGGAAGTGGTAGTCCGACTCGGCGATCCCAGACGCCTTCAGCGCGTCTCCGGCATCGGCGGCCGCGGAGGCGTCGTCAAACAGGCCCAGTATTGCTTGCGTTGCCATGGCGATGGTACCGGTCCTTGCTACTGGTCCGTCTTGACGTCTACGGCGCCGGCCGAGTTCATTATCTGCACCACCTCGCGGCTCTGCTCCGGTTCCGCCTTGACGCGCAGACCGAGGAACCCCTGGGTGATGCGGTTATCGTAGAGGCCCAGGTCGAACTTGGGCAGGCGCGATTCGAAGATGATGCCAATCACCGTGAACAGGATGGCACCCAGCATCGTTCCCTCATAGCAGACGATGGCCATCGGCGGCAGCGACAGCACGGGCTTGCCGCCGGTAACCAGCGGGTAGGCCACCTGGGTCATTGCCGTGATCATGATGCCGGATGTGAGCCCCAGCAGCGCGCCGATGAAGGGGTACAGGTACAGGCGGTGCGGCTCGTCGCGCTCGCCCAGCGAACCTTCCGGGTAGGGGGAATCGGTCAGGAAGTCGTAGTCGGTGTCCGGGATTCCCGCGGACTTGAGACCGTCGCCGGCGGTGGCTGCGGACTCGGCGTCCTGGAACAGTCCCAGAATCGCTTGCTTGGCCATGGTTATACCTTAGTCCTCTCGGAATGCTGCCGGCACAGTGCGGCGGCCACCTGGATCTCGGTCTTGAGGATGTCGCCTTCCTTGATGTCGTACAGCGGCACCAGCGGGAACACCCGGCTGAACAGCAGCATCAGCATCGATACAAAGGCGAACGTTGCGCCCACGATGAGGGCTTCCGGCCATTGCGGCAGGTAGTCGTTCCACGTGAAGGTCTGGAACTGCTTTGTTGGCCTGTCCGGGCACGAACAGCAGGTACCGCTCCAGCCACATACCCACGTTCACCGAGATACACGCTGCGGACATTATCCACAGGTTGCGTCGCCAGGCCCGGGGCAGCCAAAGGATGACCGGCAGGAAGTAGGTGATGCCGACGAACACTATCATCCAGATGTTGTAGGCCACACCGTTCTCGCCGGGCAGGAACTGCAGCGCGCGCACGGCCAATTCGTCGCCTTCCAGGCCGTAGATGCCGAAGATGATCTCCATTACCAGGAAGTAGAACCAACCGGTGGCAACGACGATCAACAGGCGTCCCAGCGCGTCGATATGCTCGTGGCGGATGTAGTCCTGCCAGCCGTAGGCCCAGCGCAGCAGGATCAGGGCGAACACCACTGCGGACACGCCGGAGTGAACGGCGCCCACCACGAAGTAGGGCGCGAATACCGTGCTGTGCCACGACTTGATTGCCACCGCCATGCCGAAGTCCCAGGACACGATGGAGTGCACGGAGACGAACACCGGAAGGATCAACGCGGACAGCAGGACACCGGCAATGATCTGCAGCTTCCACTGGCGCGGGTTGCCCTCCCATCCCATGGCGAGCAGCGTGTAAACGATCTTCGGCCAGCCGGTGGTCCGGTCGCGCAGCACGGCGAAGTCCGGCACCAGCGCGATCGCCACGAACATGGTGGAAGAGGTCAGGTAGGTCAGGATCGCGGACGGGTCCCACACCAGCGGGGTGCGGATGTTGGGCCACACGCCGCGGGCGAAGTCGTAGGGGAACGCCCAGTACAGGATGCGCCACGGTCGTCCGGTGTGGATGATCGGCATGATCATCGCCGTCATCAGCGAGAAGATGGTCAGAACCTCGGCGGCGCGGGTCGCCGGGCGACGCCATTCGGCCTTGGCCAGGCGCAGGATCGCGGAAAGCATCACGCCGGCGTGGCTGATACCGATCCAGAACACGAAGTTGGTGATGAAGAATCCCCAGACCACCTTGTAGTTCAACCCGGTGATGCCGAGACCCCTGTCAACCATTATGGCGACGGTGATGGTGGCTGCCAGCACCACCATGCCGAGCAGCGACACCACCGGCCAGAACCAACGCGGCGTTTCCAGTATGGACCGCAGCAGGTCCCGGTTAACTTGCGCTGCGGGTAGGACTTTGCCTTCCTGCATTTTGACTTACTCTATACCCGTGGTGGCTCGGTTGGTGTCTTTCTGGCGTTTTGGAGGATACAGCGCGGCGGCTTGGCGTGGGATGTCATTGCGTGCGTAGCGTGGCAATCTCGTGCCCCATCGACTGCAACCCCTATTCCGGCTTGGCAAGGACCAGGTAGCGGCCCCGGATCAGCGTGTCCACGCGCTGGTACATCGACCCTTCTTTCATTTCCCAGAGCGCCAGCGGCGGCAGGATCATGAGGCCGATGCGCAGCAGGAACAGGACTATGCCCACCCCGCCCAGGAGCATGAAGATGTCCCAAAGATCTGGGAACGTCGCGCCGGGCGGCGGCAACAGTAAAGCCGGGAACGCGAAGGCGTCTGAAGGCAGGTAATACAGCCCATGCAGGTCCGCCGGCGCCGCCGCAAAGGCCGCGGCAAATATCCGGATGTGGAACAGCATCAAGCCGATGAGGATGAAGACGGCCGCCAGGGGCGCGCCCCAGCCCTCTCGACGGGCGTGGTTGGAAACCAGGATCGGGAACGGTATGAAGAACGTGAAGAACAGCTGCGCCCAGAAGATGCCGATGTACGACTTGAACATCAGATAGTTCAGGATCGCCTGCTCAACCTCCAGCCGACCGTACCAATAGGTGATGAAGAACGCGAACAGATGGTAGGTGTGCAGCAGCGTCAGCCCCAGCAGCACCTTGCTGGCCGCCCAGAACGGGGCCTGCCCGATGTAGTCACGGTAGCCGCCCCAACGCCGCATCGCGTAGGCCGTCAGCAGGATGGCCGCGAGGCCGCCCTGGAAGCTGATCACGGTGTAGAAGGGCGGCAGGATCGAGTCCTTCCAGCCCGGTATCATCGCCATGGCGAAGTCGCTGACCACCAGGAACTGGACGAACACCACCAGCATGAAGTAGAGACCGCCCAGGATGGCGAGGCCGCCCTTCTGGATCTGCCACTGCCGCTTGGTGCCGTACCACCCGCCGGATAGTCTCGCGTACAGGGAGGCGCGGAAACCGGTCATCAACGAGCGGCTCTGCGCCATGTCGGGCATCGCCGAAATCCACAGTATCGCCAGCGAGCAGACCACCAGCCCGATCATCGAGGCCATCAGCCATCCCGACGGGTTGCTCATCTCCTGGAACCAGATGGACCGGCGCACCATCTCCTCGCCGCTTTCCGTCATCACCCCGATTTCGGGCAACGCAATCAGCGCGGGGATGAAAAGCAAAATGTTGACGATGCTCGCCACCGAGAACACCTCGGCGATGCGCGTCAGCGGCCGCCGCCAGTGGCTCTTGGTGAACCGGAAGGCGCAGGCGGCCAGCGGGGCCGAGGCGGTCAGCGTGAATACGAACGCGAACGTCGCGACGTAAAACCCCCAATCGCGATGGTCGGAGAAACCAACCGTCACCAGCTTGAGTACGAAGCCCACGATGCCCAATATCGTCAGAACACCGCCGACGATGAAAACCCAGCGCAGCAGGCTCGAACCCGCTTGCTGCCGCTCGACGACGCCGGACACCAACCCCGCCCTTTCGGGGATGACCCACATCTCCGGCCCGAAATGGCCGTGCTCGTGGGCATCATGCCCATGGGCGTCGTGTTCGTGGCCGCCGTGGGCCGGAGCTTCGCTAGCCATCAGTGTCCGCCCTTAAGGGGGTACTGGTCGATTTTCTTCAGGTAGATGATGCTGGGACGAGTGTTCATCTCTTCCAGCAGACGGTAGCCCCGGGTCTCCCGGTCAGGCTCGCCGTGGCCCGGGTGGGCGTTCACGTCGTCGAAGTACGGCTTGATCGCAGTATCGGGTTCCTCGAGGTCGCCGAACATCAGGGCGTTGGTGGGGCAAGCCTGCACGCACGCCGGATCGTAGTTGCCTCCGGTGATGCGCTCGTCGTTCAGTCGCTGCCCGCCCCGGGCCTCAACCTCGATTTCTCCCCGGCGGAGACGCTGGACGCAGAAGGTGCACTTCTCGGTAATACCGCCCGTCCGCACCGTGACGTCCGGATTGAGCTGGTTTTCCAGCCGGGCCGGCCAGTTGGGATGCCAGAAGTTGAACATCCTCACCTGGTACGGGCAGTTGTTGATGCAATATCGGGTGCCCACACAGCGGTTGTAGACCTGAACATTCAGGCCCTCTTCGTTGTGGTAGGTCGCGAACACCGGACACACCGGCTCGCACGGCGCGTTCTCGCAGTGCTGACACAGCACCGGCATGAACCGCGCCTTGATGTTCGGGTACTCGCCTTCCCAGTAGCGTTCAATGCGGATCCACTCGTAGGCGCGCCGCTGCAGGAAGTAGTCCTTGGTGTTGATGGGGATGTTGTTCTCCGCCTGGCACGCAACCACACAGGCCTGGCAGCCCGTGCACTTGTCCAGGTCTACGACCATTCCCCATTTGTGCGGAAATTCGGCGTTAGGCATTTCTCAGTTGTCTCCAGGTCACGGCGGGCGCGTCGGCGGGCCTAGTGACCTCCCTCCGCGCTGACGCTCTTGTAAACCTGCTCGGCCGGATGTTCGCCAACCTCGCGGCTGGTGTAGTCTCCCTCCAGCTTGGACACGGCCATGCTGTCGCCGGTGGGCGTGATCGAGCACCGGGTGGAGCTCCAGGCCAGTCCGCCCGACCTATCTACCGGAATGGGCTCCAGTATGGAAATAACGTTGCTGCTTTCGCGGGCGTCCCGGTCCGTGGCGTAGTCTGATCCGAGCCTGCGGCCACCACCCATGGGCACCGAGGCCACTCCCGGCGGCGTTCCGGGATTCAGGTATACCAACGCCTGGATACTGCCGGCGGATGTGCTGATGTTCACCACATCACCCTCTCGCAGCCCCATAACTTTGCCCTGCTTTTCGTTGATGTCCACCCAAGTCTGCCAGGTCACCGTGGTCAGCGGGTCCGGCGTGCTCTGCGCCCACGGCAGGTGAGCGTTGCGCCCGTCCCTCACGGTGTGATGCTCGTAGGGCAACAGCTGGAAGTCTCCACTGCCGACGAGATTGGCCGGGGCCGCTCGGCTCGCGATCTTGGCCAGCGTACCCTCCGGAGGGGTCGCCGCCCGGCCGGTCGCGTTCTCATCCCACCAACCGCCGTACATCAGCGTGTCGGTGAGGTCAGCTCCGAGGGTTTCCTCAACGTTGGAGCGGATCATGGCTTCGTAACTCTCGGCGGGCATGGCGTCGCCGCGGCCCAGCGTTGCGGCCGCGTTCAGCAGGACATCGGGGAAGCTCCGCGGATCCAGGTCCGCCAACGGGTTCACCACGGGCTGCTGCACTGCGTAAACTCGGTAACCCGGCATCGGATCCGGTAGGTCGTCTCCCCAGTCCTCCAGCGCGGCCCGGTCCGGCAGGAGCAGGTCGGCCATCGCCGAAGTCTCGTCCAGGAACTGGTTCGCGCTGATCACCACCACGGCTTCGTTGCCCAGAGCGGCTTCCAGGCCCATGCTGGCCGGCAGGCCGTACACCGGGTTGGCGTTGTGGATGATAACCAGGGGAGCGGCGCCGCTGTTGATGTCGCCGGCGATCTGTTGCCAATCGGCCAGGGACGCCACCGGAGCCAGCGTCGGGCTGTCGGAAATCGGGCTCCCGGGATCGGGCAGCAGGCCGCCCTCATGTCCCACGTTGCCCAGGAGGTAGTTCACAATGAGAACTGCCGAGGCGTTGAACTGCCCATTGCTGTACGCGCCGGCCTCGCCGCCGCCGCCGATGGCCAGCCCGCCGTGGGCCATGTAGTCTTGCGCCAACCCCTCGAAGAATTCCCGGACCGTATGCCCGTCCAGAACCTCGCTTGGTATGCCAAGAACGTCCACCAGGGCGTCGGGAATGAATTCGCGCAGCACGCCCGGTCCAGCCTCGCCTGTGATCTGCGCCATCGACGGCGATTCGGGGTGGGTCGCCGCAACGGCCCATCCCAGCGCCATGGCGGCATAACCTTCGGACCCGGGATTAATCGGTATCCACTTGTCGGCGTTCGCCGCGGTCATCGAGTAGCGCGAACCAAAATGATAATGCCGCCCGCGGGGCGCCTTCGACCGGAACTTGCCGTATGCCACGGAATAGGCGGTGGGGTTGCCCCACGTCGAGAGGAAGTCAGAGCCGAAGCTGGCCAGCGTATCCGCGTTGGCGATGTCGTGGTACGGCAGTCTGTCCGTGCCCATCACGTCCTGCACCGCCGCCCGGTACGCCGAGTCGTCCGACGCGCCGCCAAAGGCCACGTGGCGTCCGCCGAAGGTTTCGGCGAAGGCTCCGCAGATCTTGGCGAAGCTGCACGCCCGGTCTTCGGTGATCAGCAGCATGCCCTGCCCGCGGTCTTCCACCGCCGCGTTGAAGCGGTTCAGCGCCTCTTCCCAAGTTATGGGGCGGTAGAGTCCCGACCCTCGCGGCCCGTTGCGCAGCATCGGCCCGTCGATCCGGTCGGGATGGTAGAGCGACTGCAGCAGGGCGTCGGAGGCGGGCGACTGCTTACCCTGGTTCGACGGGAACCGCGGGTTGCCGCGCACCTTCTTGGCGCGTCCTTCCATCACCCGGACGAGGATGCCCTCACCGCCGGGAACCGACCCGTCGTAGGTGGCGTACCAGTTGTCGCGGCCTTTAACCAAGTCTTCGGGGATTAGCGCCGGGCTCTGCACCCTCAGCTCGTCGTCGAACAGGTCGCAGGCGATCGCTCCGGTTGCAGCGATGCCAGCCCAGGCGAGGAAGTTGCGGCGCGTTAGTTTCATGATCAGCGTGCGGCCTACTTGTGGCAAATGGTGCAGTCGGTGCTGACGTTGTTTTCCCGGTGGCAGTCCAGGCACGTGCCCATCTTCAGCGACTGGCCATCCTGCGGCTGTACCTCAGCCATGTGGGACACGTCGCCGTGGCACACGGAACAGGCTTCGGGCACCGACACCGGCAGGTTCATCGGCTTTTCATCACCCATCGGCAACGTGACCGTGCGTTCTTCGCCCTGGGTCAGGAACCGGATGTGCGCCTCGTGCACGAACCGAACATGGTCCGGCAGGCGATGCACCCGCTCCCAGTCAATGGGCCGTTCCTCGGCGTGCTTGTCCAGCACGCGCTGGATGTTGATGAGCGTTTCCGGCTCGACCTCGGATGAGACCACGTTGTTGCCGTTGACCTGCTTGTGACAGATCACGCAGACCTCCACGGCCGGAACCGTCGCCGCCGCGCCGGTGGTCACGTTGCGGTGGCAGAATTCGCATTGAATGGCGTGGCCGCCCTCTTCAACCGCTCCCGCGTGCACCGTGTGCGGGAAGGCAATCGGCTGCTCCGGCGCGTCTCCCCAGCCAAAGGGCGGGTTGGAGAACCAGGATATGAACAGCACCACCAGGATGAACGCGACAATGGCCGTCACGACGAGCCCGGCGAGCGCCATCGGTATGAGCAGTCGGGTTGGTGGGAGAGGAGGCATGGATATCGGCAGGTCTGTGGGCGGCAGGGAACGTTGCGTCAGGCGGCAGGTGTCGCAGCGTGGCGATCAGGCGCTCCGTGCGTTATACAAAGAGGCGTTCCCAGACGTTCTGCAGCGTCATCGGTGACTGCATGACGGTCAAAATCATCATGAACACGGCTCCCGCCAGCGCGGCGACGCCGACCACGGTAAGGGGTAATCGCAAACGCGCGAGAACAGCCGGGTAGGTTCCCGTCCGCACGCCCGACGGGATGAGCCCGTGGGCGATCAGAATGCTGAACGCGAAGATGATGATCAGGGGGAAATAAATCCACAGGTACGTCAGCCAGAGGCTGACATCGGCCCAGAGAGCCGCGTTCATCGCGTTGGGGTCGGTTTGCGGCATATGGCTGGTGAACCTGCGCTCGAACGTATGATGCTGGGCTGGCGACCCGAAGTCGATCACGCAAAACGGCTGGAATTACGCGGCCCGTTTTTGGCTGGTGAAAATTATCACATTCACCTGGACGTGTCAACAAGATGCGCCGCCGCTCGATCCAGTTTTCCAGGCACATTTTGGTGGCCTCGCAACGCCGGTTGTCCCGGCTGCCCGTCCGCCGGCGCTGGCCCAAGTGTCCCGTATCACCGGTCAGCCGGCAAGGATGTCTCACGCCGGTCGGGTCAGTGGCGGGGCCCGAACAACGACGCCCGCCAGCCGTCCCAACCCCGTCGCCAGGACGCAGACGCCGGCCCGGTAAGGGGGACCCTGCGCCGTTGAGCCGACGACCCGCGGATTGCATGACCGCACCGCGCGAAACGGCGTGACGCAGAACGGCCTTGCGGTCATGGACAGGCGTTGCCCGTGGTCGAGGGAAATGCGCGCCGAGCTCCCTCCACTCGCCGGGCCTCGGCGCCGGCGACGAATTTCGTTGACGCCCCAAATGCCACCCCATATAATGCCTACTGGGCAATTTTGCACCGTCCAAAACGCCGAAACAGGCTAAACGCCAATTCAGGCGCATCGCTCGAAGGAGACTCCAGAATGACCACCGAAGTTTACGATTCTGTTTTGCACCCAGGTTCCCTGGTTGCCGAGATGAAAAAGAACAACGTTTCCCACGTCGTCTGGCTCCCTGACAGCGAAACCAACTTCCTCTACAACATGATGATGGAGGAACCCACCATTGACCTCGTCCCGGTGTGCCGCGAGGGCGAGACCATGGCCGTTGCCGCCGGCCTCTGGGTGGGCGGCGCCAACCCCATGGTGCTGATCCAGAACACCGGCATCTTCGAGGCCGGCGACTCCATTCGCGGCCTGTGCCTGGACCTCAACCAGCCCCTGGTCATGCTGGTCGGCTATCGCGGCTGGACCCGCCGTGGTCCCACTCCCGATTCCGCCGGCCGCTTCATCGAGCACATCCTCCACGCTGGGGCATCAACTACTACCTCGTGGAAACCGATGACGATGCCGACCGCATCAGCGTCGCCTTCGAGGAATCCCAGCGCCTCAACCGTCCCGTCGCCGTCCTCATCGGCACCGAGTTCGGGGTCTAGGCTTCCCCAAGCGCAACGCGGCAAATGCACATCGAAAATTGCAGGAGCAAATCCCCATGATTAACAACACCGACGCGGTCCGCGTCATCGACACCAACCGCGAAGACGCCGTCATCATTCCCACCATGAACGCCGGCAACGTCCGCTTCGGACTGCCCGTCGTCAGCACCAACCAGAACCTGGACCTCCCGATCTCCGGCGCCATGGGCAAGGCCAGCAACGTCGGCCTCGGCGTGGCCCTGGCCCAGCCTGGGCGCAAGGTCTTCGTGCTGGACGGCGACGGCAGCCTGCTGATGAACCTTGGCTCGCTGGTCACCACCTCCACCAAGGCCCCCAAGAACTTCTACCACTTCCTTTTCAACAACGGCGTCTATGCCGTCACCGGCGGCCAGCCCATCCCGGGATCCGACGGCGTCACCAACTGGGAGGAAGTCGCCCGGGGCGCCGGCTACGCTGCCGTCTTTTCCTTCGACAACCTGGAAGATTTCACCACCGGCATCGGCGAAGTCCTCGCGGCCGAGGGCCCGGTCTTCTGCCAACTGTCGGTGGAACCGGAGATCGAAAACACGCCGGTGCAGTTCCGCGTCCGCGGCACCCGCAGCGCGCAGCAGGCCTACCAGGAAGTCACCGCCGCCCTCGCCGGCGACAACTAGGCGACCTGCCACTGGAGATCCATGTACAGGGGCGAATGATCATTCGCCCCTACCGTTAAATGCCTCCGGTCCATCCGCTCACCCATGCCCAAGTTTCGACCCTTCAGCATAGTTGGCCGACTCTTTGCGTCGGCCGTGGTCGTTGCCGGCTTCTACCTGCTGTGGCTGGGCTTCGTGGAGGGCAACGCCCTGAAGGCTGTGCCCGGAGCCGTGCTCATCCCCGCCGGCCTCTACCTGATGGTCTCGCAACGCCGCGCTGAGATCCGCCGCGACGCCGACCGGGACAGCGACCCAGATCCACCACTGGAAGGCCGGGAATGATCCCTTCCCGCGAAGTCGCCCGCGCCATCAGCTACCACCGCCAGGATTCCCTGGTGGTCTCCACGTCTGCTGCCCTGCGCGACTGGCACAGCGTGTCGGACCGGCGCGAACTGGACATCGATCTCAGCGACTGCATGGACCGCGCGCCCGCCGTCGGTCTGGGTTTGTCCCTGGCGCAGCCCAACCGCCGCATCCTCGTGCTGGACTGCGACGCGACCCTGCGCACCGATCTGTCCAGCCTGGCCACCATCGGCGAAGCCGCTCCCGGCAACCTCGTCCACTTCGTGCTGGAGGACGCCGACCATACCTCCACCGACGGCGTGCCCATCCGTGGGCTCGACCAGGTCGATTTCGAGGGTATGGCCCGCAGCGCCGGCTACGCCCACACCTGCCGGTTCGACAACCTGGAGGAGTTCCTCATCGGCCTGGAGGAGATCATGGCCAGACCCGGCCCCATCCTCGTCGCCATCAAGGTGTTGCCTGAGCCGGAACTGCCGGCCTTCCCCGAACGCTCCATGGCCGACGGCTGGGCCGAAGTCCGCCGCACCCTCAGCGACGACCCTTAATCGTCGGTTTCGTCGTCTCCGGCCGGCCGCACCATGATCTGCCGCGCCACGTTGTAGCCGATGGAGATGCGGTCCACCTCTGTCTCCACCTGCATGACACCCAGGTAGGGCATCCCTTCCAGCAGGGTGATACGCCGGTCTGGCACCAGCTCCGCGCCGCCCAGGAACTTCAGCAGTTCCGCGTCCTCCTCCGGCACCCGGTCCACCACGTAGGCCACTCCGCTGGCGGCGTTGTCCAGCGTTATCGCCCCCGGCGTCGGCGTCGTGGGGCCGCTGCCCGGTATCGGCCAGCCGAAGGGCGAATGGGTCGGGTTGCCAAGCCGTTCCATCAGCTTCGCTTCCATCGCGTCGGACATCCCGTGCTCCAGCTGGTGCGCCTCGATGTGGGCCTCGTGCAGATCCATGCCCAGCAGACTCACCACCAGCCATTCCGCCAACCGGTGCCGGCGCGCGATGTTCTCGCCCTCCTTCTTCCCTCGCGTCGTCATCCGGATGCGCTTGTCGCTACCGATGTCCACCAGCCCTTGCTTCTGCATTCTCCGCAGCATTCCGGCCACCGACGGCACCGAGGTTCCCAACCCCTCGGTGGGCGGTAGCTGACGCAACGCCTCAGTGAGCTGTGTCAGCGTCGGAATCTCCGAGTCCTCCCACATCTTGTACAGCGAAAGCAGATAGTTCTCGGTAACCGGGGACAGCCGGTCCGGGGTGTCTTGCCCTCCCGTCTGGGCCCTGGGTTCGGTGGCGGTTCTACGCGGTCGCGGCACGACCCCTTCCTCCGGGGATGAATCGAGATCTGAGGCGATTATACCCCAAACCCCGTTCCCGGACGGCGGGACGCCCGCCGCTCATGCCGTACCGCCGCTCTGCCACCGGCCCTCCGCGTCGTCCGTTCTCAATCTGAAACGCAACGCCACTTGTATCAAAGAGTAACGAAAGTCATACCCGCAAAAGGAGGCGCCATACCCCAATACAGCAGTTCAAAATCGCCATCGCAAAATCGAGTCGTCAATCCTAATTGACCGCGCATAAGCGGCAGAGAGGGAATACCATGAGACCGAATAACTTTTTCACCAGACTCGGACGGATCCCAACCGCCATCATTTCCCTGCTGGCCTACACGCTTTTCCTGATCTCCCTGCTCTTTATATTCGACGTCGCGTCGGCGCACGGCGCTCCGCAGATCGCAGCGGATCCGTCCGGCCAACGGATGCCGGGGCCCGGTGTCAACGAGGCTGCCGCGCCCACAACACAGCTCCACGCTGCGCCGGCCCAGGTGGCCCCCGACCAGGACGCGACCATCAGCTCGCTGACGCTCACCGCCGGCGGCTCGAACGTGGCGTTGAACCCGTCTTTCGATCCGGAGACCACGAGCTACACGGCGACGGTCGATGCCGCCAGTGTGGAAGTGCAGGCGTCAGCGACCAGGCTTGCAGCCGGGTTCATCGCAACTGTCACCGGAGACACTGCGCTCACGGTGACGCCAGTCACCAATACGCTGACGGTGGACATCCCACTCGCCGAGGGTAGGATCACCGATTTCTCGTTCACGGTACGGGCCGAGGACGAAGCGGCCACGAAGACCTACCACGTCGCCTTCTCCCGGCCCGCCGCGGACACGGTGCCCGACGTCACCATCGAGGCCAACCGCAGCGAATACGTCGCCGGCCTGGAGGCCCTGGTATTCACTTTTACCCGAGGCGGTGACACCACGGAAGACCTCGAAGTGACTGTCAATCTGGTTCAGACCCAGGCCTGGCTCAATTTCACTTCGTTCACGGCGATCTTCCACGCCGGCGGCTCGCAGACCACATACAGTCTCGGAGAATCCGTCTTCTCGTCAGCGGTAACGCAGAGCGGCCATATAACGGCTACGGTGGCCCCATTCGCCGGCTACGACATGAGCGAAGCACGAACGCGGGTGCGGGTGATATACCTGGAAGGGCCGGCCGTCAGCGTATCTCTGGAACACCCGGCCTACACGTTTGGCGAAGATGCCGGCGCCGTGGACGTCGTACTGGTGGCAAGGGCGGCCCCCGGAATTCCCCACGTGACCGACTTCCTGGTAAGTTTCTTGACTGCAGCGGGAAGCGCAACCAGCGGGCTGGCTGACAGTGCTGGGACCGATTACCTCCCGGTTTCGCGAATGGTCCAGTTCGATGCTTCGGACTTTCGGGACGAAGGCGGTTCGCTGGTCGCTCGCGCGGACGAATTCGTCACTATCATTGACGACGATGTCCACGAAGGCGATGAGTTGTTTCACCTTCGCGTTGAACGCTCTCCGGGCATGCCGCGAGAGGTCCTGGTGCTTGATTCCCAAGGCCTCGAATGCTCCCCCGCTTGTGCCAATCCCTACGTGGTCACCATCACAGACAACGACCCGGAACCTGGACTCCGGCTGATCGTAGGTGTGACTAGCCCCAGCGAGTCTGCCGAAACCGTGATTGGCATTGAACTCACCACCGTCGACCATACCAGATTTTCCGAAGACCAGCCCATCACCGTCAACTTCAGGGGCTCTGCGACCTTTGGTGAAGACTATGCGATCTATCCCGAAGACGTAACCAGCGGCGCTCCCCCCATCCAAACGATCCTCAGTGCGGAAGACGGTTATGCGGCAATTTATTTGAAAACCTTCAACGATTCGGTGCCCGACGCGTGCGAATGGGTCCAAGTTTCGGCCACCATCGGAGCGAACCACAAGACGACACTGTACTCACCGATCATCACCATCATCGATGACGACAACGTGGCCGGCGTCACTACAACCCTCCCAGTGGGCCTGCCCGGCCAGCGCACCGGCGAGATCGTCACGGCGGACAACGGCCGGGACTGGTACAGCTTCGACGCAACCGGCGACGAGCACTACATCATCGAGGTGAAACACCCCCTTGCCTTCGACCTGGACAGCCGCACCTACCAACAGGTGCCGGGATATCTGGTCGATCCCAGCATCCTGGAGGTGGTCAACGACGGGGACACGCGGGTCCTCGACGAGCAAGACCAGGGCGGGTACACGCTGAACTTCGCACGCGCATTCTTCACTCCTGCTGACAGCGGAACCTATCGCATCGCCGTGGGCGCAGGAGCGCAGGACCGTTCGGGGCATGGCTGCTACACCATATCGGTGCGTGCCGACGACCACGCCGACGACTACAAGACCGATCCCAACGTTGTCCTCAGGCCCGGCGAGTCCATCACCGCCACTATTGATTCCGACGTGTCCCCGGCCGATCCCAACCGGGAAATATGGATCTGGGGCGGCCGCGGCATCGAGTCCGTGGACGACCGCGACGTCTTTCGCTACCAGATCGCCGAGGCGGGAACCTATCGGGTGTCCGTGAGCGACCAACCCACGGGCGCCGGCATCTGGTACGTCTGGAACTCGCAGGGCAACCTGTTTGCCCGTGCGACAACCGCTCCAGGCGCGAGTGCCGTGCTTCACCACGAGCCGGGAACCTATTACGTTGAAGTCGGTACGCCGTACGAAAGCAGCGGCAACACTGGCACCTACACCGTTGCGGTGGAAGCCGTTACCGATGAAGGCAACGGCGGCCGTTCAACCGGGGAGGCCAGGACCTCCGCGGGAATTGCACTGGCCCCGTGAGAGACGCCGGGCCGTCCTGCCGCCGGGTGGCCTGAGACCGGCGGTAGGACGGCAATAACGCCCGGCAAACATCGCCGATCTCGTCGCGCGCGTGGCGGAACATGGTGAGGTGCGCTTCGCCACCCGGCTCGCGCCAGTCGGGTTCGCCGACCCCGTGGTGCAGCGTGCCTCTCGCGCCGGGAAACACGGGGCTGGCTTCCGGCGGGGCACTCGTCGGTCGATGACCCGTTCGCCATTGCTGGATACTCCAAGGATTGACAGGGTGAATGACCACTCGTACACTTAATATCATAAACATCAATATATATTATCGGTCATAACGAGTCACTGCACGATCGGGTCGCCTTCCCTGCATCGTGTATCGGCGACCAGCCGGAATAACTTCAACCCAAAGGAGGATATCCAGATGCTCACGCTAACGATAAAACGCGCTTTCAGGATACTGGGAGTTCAGAAGACGAAAACCATACACATTTCCATGTTGGTGGCCCTGGTTGGGGTCCTGGGGCTCACCATACTGCTTGGCTCACTCTTCTCACCGCCCCGCACGGCGGTTGCGGCTCCCCACGCCGTGGGCAACGAGCCCTGGCTTGAGATCAACTGCCTGGAGACGGTGGTCGAAGAAGGCGACGACTTCCGGCTCCTGGTCAACAAGAAGTTCCACTCCGATGGGCCCCACGAGACCATGCGCGTGTTCTGGTACACCGACTCGATCACCGCCGACCGGTCGGACTACGAGCACCTCTACGCCGAGCGCCAGTCCAGCAACGGCTACCAGTCCAAGCACGGCAGGATGGGCCGCAACTTCCACACCCTGGAAGACAACTATCCCGAAGCCGATGAGACCTTCAAGGTCCGGTTCAACAACTCCGTCGATTACGGGCACGACGGCGAGTGTGTGATCACCATCACCGACGACGACGGCGTCGGCATCTACGACCTCGAGATAACATCGTCACCGCAGCCCCTTCCCGCTGACGATGGCAAGGAGCCGCAGGTCGGGTACGCCATGGGCGACGTCATCGAGATCACCGCGCATTTCACCGGCGACGTGACCACGTTCAACCCGGATACCGGCCAACGCGCCGACTACGCCGGCATCTACCTGCAGGTGGGAGAGAACCGGCGGTTCGCCGACGTGCGGCGGGGCGACGGCACGGACACCCTGGTGTTCGGATACACCGTGCAGGCCGACGACGCGGACGCCGACGGTATCAGCGTGGAGGGCGGCGGACCCGGTACCGGTCTCGGCTACAACCCGAACAACCGGGACGGCGGGATCTGGATCACCGAAACCGGCAGCAGCCGCATCAACCGGCTATTCCACGGACTGGACGACGACTCGGCGCATCGCGTGTTCCAAGTCGAGGTCGATGAGCCGACTATCACGCCGCCGACGGACAACGAAGCTCCTCCACCGCCAGCGCTCCTTCCATGGATGGAAAACGCCCTTTTGATTGACGACGGTTCCTTTCATGTCGAACACGGTGAGCTCACCGCGGAGGACGGCGGCCGGGACTCGTTCAGTTTCACGGCCATCTCCGGCGAAAAATACATCATCGAGGTGGAAAGCAGGATGGAGCTCCTGCAAGAGTCGGGCACACCGTATGTCGAAGGGCACCTGGTTGATCCGAGCATCCTGGAAATCGTGGATGCATATGGAACGCAAGTCCTCGGCGAGCAGGATCAAGGTGGGTTCATCAACAATTGGGGGCGGGGATACTTCAACGTTCCAGAGGATGGGTCCTACTACATCGCGGTTGGGTCCGGTGCACAGGATCGTGGCGGTTTCGGGCACTACACCATCTCAGTGCGGCAAGATGACCACGCCGACGATTTTCGCACACACCCCGACGTAGTGGTCCGGCCGGGAGAGTCAATCACCGCCAGTATCAATTCGGACGCAGCCCCGGGCGACGCGCAGCCGAATGCCTGGGCTTGGGGGGAAACAAGCGATTCCAACGCCGTACCGAGGTGGGGAATCGAATCGGCCGACGACAAGGACGTGTTCCCGCTTTGAGATCGCTCAATCGGGCAATATCGCATAGAGATGATCGACGGCCCGACCGGAGCAGGACTTTGGGCAACCTTCGATGAGACCGGTCATGGCCAATACATCTCCCTGGAAGGCCCGGTTGCATCCTTTGTTTCCGACTTCCAGGCCGGTACGCACTTCTTCGGGGTCGGCACGCCTTACCAAAGCGTGGGCAACACCGGCGCCTACACCGTATCCCTGGACGAAGTGGATGACGCGGCGGCAGCCGTCGGGCCGTAACCGGCCACCCGAATACCAACCCGGCAAACTGATCGCGCCGCGCACGGGAGTCCCCTCCAGCAGGGGGCTCCCGTGTTTGCTGACGGCAGTCTCAGATACAATGATCCGTGCATCACAGTGGGGGTACTTGGCAACCTCCGGGAGCACAGCGAGACCAGATGGCAACACGCACCTATCATTCGGCCAGCCGCCGCTTGCTCGAGCAAGCCAGGGAAGAACTGGCCAAAGGCGACGTTCGGCAATCGTCAGAGAAGGGTTGGGGCGCCGCCGCGCAGATGGTCAAAGCCGTCGCCGACCAGCGCGGCTGGGAACACGCCGGCCATCGCCAGTTGTTCACCGCGGTGAGGCGTCTGCGCGACGAAACCGGCGACCAGGACATCCGCCGGCTTTTCAACGCTGCCAGCAGCCTCCACACCAATTTTTACGAGGACTGGAAAGAAGCCCCGACCGTGGCTGAAGATCTGGATGACGTGGCCCGATTCCTGGACAAGCTGGCGCCGCTTTTGGACAACTGACCTCTGAACGAAAGGCGCCCCAACGCCTGGCCCGTAAACCAATGGCAGTAAACACGGGAGTCCCCTCCAGCAGGGGGGCTCCCAAATCAACGGCCGGCGCTGCTACCTTACAGGATCTCCAGCAACTCTCGCAGGTCGCTGATCTCGTGGTGCGGCGTTATTCCCGTATCGTTCGTTGCACCGTCCCGGTTCAACCACACGCTGCGGATGCCCATCCCGTTCGCGCCCAAGATGTCGCTCGGCAACGAATCGCCGACGTGGACGACCTGCTCCGGACCGCAGCCGCACTCGGCCAGGGCCAGATCGAATATCCGCCGGCCGGGCTTGGCGAAGCCGCACTCCTGCGCCAGGAGCACGAAGCTGAAAAAGCCGCCGAGCCCCACCCTCTCCGGTTGGGTGTTGCCGTTGGATACCAGGCCGAGTAGGTAGCGGCTCTTGAGGTTCCTCAGCACATCGGGAACACCCTCGTACGGCCGGGTGCAGTCAAACCGCGCCTCGTTGTAGACGTGAAACAACCGCTGGGCGCC